CAAAGATAGATTCGCAGTTTCCACAAAGTCGTAAAGGATTAAAAATCATTTAACTAAATGTATTTGGGTGTATTAATGGATACGAAATATTTGTAATGGGGGAGAAAGTAATGCTTTAAAATTTATATGAAATTAATGGCTGGAAATAAAAATAGAGGAAATTTTCCAACTAAATATTGACCGCGCGAATCTGAAAGGACTTTGGCAGAATGGGGTGTATTAACAAGGAGAAGCGTAAGGAGTGCGTCTTTTAGAGGCTCCCCTGTCACACAAGTGTGACAGAATGTTATTTTCTCGAGTGTGTTTTCTCTTTCCCTTTAGAGCGGCGATAGGGGCAACGATAGACCTTTCTTAACCACCTCGCCCCTCGGGGTTGCTGGCCTCCGGCGAGTTCCAGCTGATCCCGAATTTTATCTCTCCCTCCTGGACCAATCGCTGGGTGGGAGGTCGGCGTCCCGATGGAGCTAGACGGTGTGACGCCGTGCAGTCTCGGGACGGATTTTCACCGTCGGAACAACACACTCGAGAGTTGCCCGCCACCGTCAACTCCCGCGTGCCCCGTTCTCCGAAGGGGGGGGGGAGGAGAGAGGGAAGAGGTGAGCGCCCTGACGATCGAGCATCGATCTCGATGCAAATCGGATTAAACCAGAGATCTTGAAAAAGTGTGTGCGCCGCGCAAAGTTTTACATAATATATTATCTCTGCATGTGTCATTTACATGTATATTATATGTATTGTGTCTTAAGGGAACGCTGACCGTGACTGTTTTACCGACTTTCCGTTCAAGGACTTTTCCTCTTTCGACTATGGACAGATTGCAAAATCCTTCTCCACGATTCAAGTACTGATAATAATGAACGGGAAGCGCTGGAATTTCGTATAGAGAACGATAAAAGTTAAAATCTTACAGTTTATTATCGGCCTCTTGCATCAGCTCGTAATAATACTTATTTAATACAAAAGTTCTGCGGTTTGTTTGTGCACAAAATATGACGCTCCCGATAGAGATGACATGAAAGAATAATACACGAGTAATAAAAATGGTGGAGGATTTTTTAATCTGCGTACATTCGATAGAAAGTGAACCTAACCTAACTTAAAGTCGGTAAAACAGAACTACGGCGGCATCTCCTTAAATATTTGTTTTTATTTTAATTCAATACAACGTTCCACATTTTATATACAACTTTCAAATAATTCTTTTTAATTTAAAAATATTATTTTAAATATTCTAAAAAATTTTAAATATTCTAAAAATGATCCCGATCTTTCCCCCGATCGCGGCAGCATTCCCCTTACGTGTACGTACAAGCCCCCGGCGTATGTCACCCCTTTGTTGCGAGAAGGTTAATCAGAAAAAGAGCGGATCGGCCGATAGAGACTCTTTTATTGATTCCGGCTGAATGTTAGGCCCCGAATGCAGTCTTGACAGTCGGCATCGGGATACGATGAGAGGGGAATAAGGGGGGAGGCATAGTGCATGGGAACTACCGAAATTGGAAAGGCAATAAGGGTGTACCGAGAGTGCACCTCTATCGCTTAACGGGGGTTGCCTAGCGACCCCAGCATCCCGTTCCCTCCCCCCTTCCCGCCATCTTGCATCTCCGTCTCTCTCGCTCCCCCTCTCGCTCGCTCCTTCCGTTTTCATCCCTTCGCGATCCCCTTCATGTTTAACCGCCAGCGTTCTCCTCGTTGCTTCTCCCGGCGTCCATTTCTCTTTTTTCTTCCTTCCTTGCTCTTCACACGCGTATCTATATTCGCGGGATACCGATGCTCTCTTTTTCCCTGACACGTTCTTCCCCTCTCTCGCTTCTTCACCAAAGGAACCTCCGGGTTTTCATCCCGCCAGGAGCTACCTCTCCTATCTTCATCCCCCGCCAGCCGACGTAGCTCGCGAGCATATATATATATATATATATATATTCGCTTCCTTCTCGAAGCGAGCGTCGCTCACTTTCCGCACCTTTTCAGTCCTCGTATTCGAGTCTTCCGATCCTCCGTCGTCTCAACCCCCGCAAAAGCTTCCCTCACCCCCCGGTGGAAGGGTATAGCTTCGGAGGCCGTGGCCCGAATTCTATCGACCCGTGGCATGCCACGCCACGCCACACGCCACTATCAACAGAGAGAGAGAGAGAGACCAGGCCTCGGCTTCATTCAGCCACCCCTTCAAGACTTGCACGCGTTCGAAAGATTGCGGCTATGCGTGCACGTGTTGTGGGGCCCCGAAACGTGGCCGAGTTTCGTCGTCGAGGGACGAGCGAAACAAAGATTGAAGAAAAATTGATCACTCGCTTGTCCGCAATCGGAAAATTGTGTCTTGAAATATTTCAATAAAATAATATCGATAGTGAAGATGAAACTAGAAATCAAAATAAAACAATTGCAAGATAAAATTTATTAATTATCTAAAAATGTTTTGTTATATATATATATAAAATTTTAGTACGCTGAAAAATGTAATTGAACATTTTTTGATATTCACCTGTCTATGCGCGATTGGCGCGATTTAAAAATGGGAAATGGGTCAAATGAGGGTCCCGATAGAGTATCGAGCTTAATAGCAAGTCGATGTATCCCGAATACGATAGCTCGACGATCGGGGGATTTCATCGAGTTTCGATTTTAGACCGAGATAAATAATCGTGACAGGCAGGGTATAAAAATTCGACTGTCGGTGCCGAGGCGAAAATCGACAGGGGGACCAACTAACGGCGTGATTCGGGATTGGCCCAAAATCCCGAGCCAATTCCTTCTCCCAGACACACACGTCGTATCGTTCATTGAGAGAGCGACCTCGATAACGACTTCCGGGCAATTTAATTTAGGATAAAAAATCGAAACAAAAAATACTCCCTTAAATTCGCGGGGTTCGCTCCAGCGAATTCCCATTGTCAAACTTTTCCTTGTCGCGGCGCGTTTTTTTTTATACCTTCGAAAACGATCTTGATTCAATCTGTTTCAAATCGGTCCGATTATTACACGGTGCTTTTACTTTTTAGTCACACATTTTCTTGAAAGACCATTCATTTTTATTTGAATACATGGAAACTTTAAGCAATACTATCTTTCATGATAATTTCATTACAGTTATAGAATTTTTATTATTAATTTTTACAATAATTTTAACTAATATCTCTAATATCTATATCCTCTTATCGAGTAATGTAATTTTTTTTCCGATTCCATTATATTATTATGTACCATTCTTTTTTCCGATGATCGAAAACTCTTGGCTCCTTCTTCCCGTTTGAAATTCTTAAATCTGGTCGGCTTAAAGTCGGCTCTCCACAGGAGCCACAGGGATTCTGGTCGTCTAACAGCAGGTGGCTATTAGAGCGACCTCGTCCACGTCGTCCGAGGACTTTTATGGTCCCCGAGGTCGTTCTGCTACCGGAATTCGATTTTCTCGAGTCGGGATGTTCTCCTCACAATAGAAGATTAAGATAATCCTGTTGATCGTGGCTCGTCTCATATCGACAGGCTAAAGTGCAGTCACAGAGCATGATATGTTTATTAAATGACCCTGCGTTTACGATTGATACATGCAAAATTTGAAATTGTTTTACGCGCATTTTCTCTTTTCCTTAAATGTCACAAAAGTCTTTCCAACTTTCGCGCAATTTTACGTAATATTATATTTACACGATAATAACATTTTTTTTATGTACATCTGTACTTAATATTATGTTTGAACAAATTTAATTGCAACTTGGTTTAATATTTCATTCAAACGCAATTTTTTCCGATGTTTACGTAATGGTTGAAAACATTTTTAGTTTGATCAATTCAATGTTTTTTGCATTTGCGCAACAACGTTTATCGATCGCGCATTTTTTTTTTTTTTTTTTTTTTTTTTTGCGCGTGATACAAAAACTAGCGGAGTTATTTGTGAAGGAATTTACGGAAGGGAAAAATCGCGAATATTTTGCGCCGCGGTATTCGACGGAGCTTATAATCCCGGAACTTTCAACTTTGTTTCCAACAGGAAGTTGGAACTCTCGAGGAACTCGGGGGAATCTGAAATAAAAAAAATAGGAAAGATAAAATGGAGAGATGAGCACCAAAGTGCGTCGAGATGAAGATTGAATTTTAGCCGATCGACGATATCGAAAATCATCGACCATCTTAATCGCTCATTCATCGAAAGTGCCATCGTCCGAAATCCACTCTCGCTCTCGCTCCCTCCTTTGTTTCTCTTACAACCGGAAAGAGCCACCTCGTGACCGTCGATAGTAGACAGACACTCACACGCGCGTAGAATTGGAAGAGACGAGCAAAGGGAAGAAAAAGTGCGCGCAGGATCTCGTTTTCCTGGGGTTACGCGAAGCGAAAGAAGAAGAGACTGGGAAACGAAAGAAGAAGCGAGATCGCGTAGAAAGAAAAACATGTTAGCCCACCGACGAAGCTGCCAGAGAACAGGGAAGAAACGAGCGAGAGAGAGAGAGAGAAGATCCGAGGAATTAGAAAGGAAGGAAGGAGTCCCGGGTCTTCTCCGCGTTGAAGGTTGCTCGTAGAAGGGGGAGGTCGTACGCCCTTGAACGAAGACGGGGCAATCTGACCCTACGACGTACGTTCCTCCCCATCGTGCGTCCAGGTGAGACCAGACGGGTTCGCCACTCTCGGGAAGCACCTCCACGACGACGACGACGTCGACGACGACGACGACGAGGAGGACGACGACGATGCCTTGATTTTCTGGGTGACGCTTGCGCCTCGAAGAAGGCACCCTCTCTCATTACTCCCACCCTTCTTCATCATCCCTTTCCTCCAAGTAGGATGGAAAATGCGCGCCAGGGGCGGCAGAAACCCTCTTTTCGGGGGTCGCCTCCTTCTACCCTCCGGCGCGGTATACATACATAATATCCCGCGCAGGGGTGGAAACTCGACTCTCGGGGGTGGGGAGAGCGATGGACGACGACGGGGAGACCCGGGGATTTCCGGGGCAGCTCGGGGCGAGGGGACGGGCACTAGGGGTTGATACCGAGGGGCAGGGCTAGGTGGGCGAAGACGGAGAGGGCGCAGTGGTCCCGCGACCATCAAACCAACAACACCGTTCTGCCGCCGCCGCCGCCGCCGCCGCCGATCGTCGTCGTCGTCATCGTTGTTCGGCGAAAACGACCCCTTCTACTCTTCCTCCTCTTCTTCTTCTTCTTCTTCTCTTCTCTTCTCTTCGCCGTCTTCTCGTCGCCGCCGACGCGACGTTGCTCTACTTCCTTCTCGAGCCGACGACCGTTCTTGTCATCGTCATCGTCATCGTCATCGATCTGCCTATCTTGTGACGCAACATTATCCTGCGGAATAGATCCTGGGACGGATGGATCCTCGAAGGATCCTGTCGCCGCTACCAGGAGGATTGCGCTGTATCCTGAGAAGATCCGGAGAGTAAAAGAGAGAGAAGAGAGAGAGAGAGAGAGAGAGAGAGAGAGTGAGAGAGAGAATGGGAGACAGAGAAGAGGAAGCGAGTGACCGCCAGGTAATTGCCAGTCGCATATCCGACCCTGATCCCAAAGGTCCTTTCGTCATCGAGTCCCCTCGCCGGTCGTAATCGCGTCTCCGCGTCTTCAACCCCTCTGTTCGTTTGATTAATTAGCTCGCTTTCGATTGTTTGATCGAGTGCTACAATTAGCATCGATCGCTGCTTCTAGAATCGATTAATTGATCGCAATATTTTTTTTTTTTTTTTTATCGTTTTATTTAATCTCGAGTCATTTATTTTAGCTATCAAGTGCTTTCAAAAGTGTCATTATTTTTGTCGCTAATTGTACTTTTTTTTTTTTTTTTTTTTAATTTATTTCTATTTAATATTTTTTGTCGAATATGTTCTTTTTTAGCCTACTTTTTTTATAAACAAAAATTTTATTGCATGTGAATGTGAACGATAAATTCATTAATTGGCGTTGTGATGGATTATTCGATATAAAACAAGAAGTGAATTAATTTTTGAATTTTTTACATTTTTTTTTAATTAAAATCCACTTATAATCACTTATAGCATTTTCAAAATGTGTCTTTTATCACTCGTCCTTTTATATAATTAAATAATTATTTTCGATTTTGTGAACTTTTTTACTATATATGTTCTTTCTTGTCGGAAATTTTTCAATGATGTATTAATAACGTGTAATCATATAATTTCGTAACTCGAGATTTCTATCAATCGAACAATCTTCCGCTCGTTCCGACCAGACTTTCGACCGCGATATCTACCGGGTGGTTGATCGGCTATCGTTTCTTATCAAGTGCACGCACGTGGATGTCATTTGCTACATTGTTCTTTTCTCAGACGACTTTTACAGTAATAGCTCGAGCAAAATGTCGCAAGCTTTTGCAGAACAAATCTTTTTTTATTGAAATTGTTGTTTATTTCGAAACAGACATATCCAAGGATATTGAATATTTAATTAGCTCATTCAAGAAGAGGCGACATATGGCTTGTGAATTTCGATCAAAAGCGCACTGCGCGCATCAATTCGCCATATGTCGTAACGAAGCTGAAACTATTGCGGTCCGGAAAAATATTCATCTGGAAATGGCAGCGCCCTTTTATACGTGATTATACCCTTTGCTTCGAACAACATCCCTTAATATATTCCAAAAGATAGATTAGATAAAAAAATTTTTTAACGCGTCTAATGACAATATTAATTCTTGCACTCGCGCATCAAGTAAAATAATGAGAAATAATTATGTAAAATGTAATTGAAATAAAAATTAAATAATTACGAAAAAATAGTGTCTTTGCATTGTTCGAATTAACGCTTTTCACGCTGATTGATATTCGACATATTTTGCATCTTTGAGATCCTCGAAATTTGCAACACTCGAAAAAAAGCGATTTCGCGACGATCCCTCTTCCTCGCGCACGATTTTTGCGACACCCGGTACGCAAGGTGTTCCCCCTATTCCGCGTAAGTACATTATGGTGTGTACTGTTGTTTTATCAGTAGTGCAGGATCGCCATGGCTACGAAGTATGAATAAGCCGTAGCCGACACACGTTGCTACCTTGTGCCTAATTACCATTTTCGTAATTTTCTGTCACGAGACTGACTCCAGCCAGCTGGTCCTCGCGATCGCGATTCGTCGCTCTTCAGCCTCTCCGACTTCCGTCCCAAGCCTCCTCGATCCTCGACGAACAGGTTCGTCTCTGTGATATTTTTAATTTTATATATCTCCGACATAACTAATTACAACCAACCGTAAATAATTATCTTATTTTTTTTTTTTTTTTCATCAATCTTTCTCATTTTTATAACATTTTTATTTTTTTATTTTCACGAATAAAATTTATTATTCGATGCTATTTTAATTTTACTGTTACTTTGAATTTTCATAGATATGTATAATTAGCTGAAATAATAAATACACGAAACTGAAATAAAATAAAATGGAAGTTTGCTCTCGTGGCAAAATATATTTTTACGCGCGAACGTTTCTATAGCCGAACGGCCGCGCTTTATTTCCGGCGAGACGACGTTTATCGATAAACGTTTAATCGATCCTCAGGAAAGCAGGATTCCGTTGTCCTCGCGAGGCGGAGGCGCGACTAATTGCACGCGGAACAGTTTCGACGGTTAACGCTATGCTCCGGCGCGACAACTTATCGAACTGTCAATATGTGATCAGCTGACGCGCTCGATCGCAGGCGGATTCCTATTTATAGCGTTTTGCACGCGCCGCGAACATATTGTCATATACCATAATCGACGCAAAAGGACGCAATGTCTGTACTCGCCACGTCGTTGTACCACGTATCGCAACGAGTATATTAAAGAAATTAAGACTAATTTTTCAAAAATTATCCAAACGAGAGTCAATAACGAATAGAAAATAAATTCCAAATTCCTGAACAGAATATATATATATATATAGGAGAAGAGTCAGCTTTTAGTAGAGCGACATTTTTTGAAAGCCAAAAAGAATATGAATTAAAAAGAAACGAATTTATGAACTCAATAATATTATTATCTAATTAGCACAGGTTGATTAAAATAAACATCGTAATTTATATTTAATATTCAAAGCTAAAAAAAGCTAAAAATTAAGGTTCGAATTCGGAAGCCAAGGATTTAGATTAAAGACAGTGAGAACCGGCCGATTCGTGCGACGTTGAATTAAAGGAATATCCTCGATCGTCATTATGAAGAATACTGGCCTAGGATCACAGATGAATTACCGGCATATTAATCTTCGCTCTCTTTTTTCATCGCGAGGAATGCATTGGTTTGTTCCAGATACCAGGTAGAACCATGCGGTTTGTCGAACCTCTCATGAATGGAAGTAGGTTCGCCAGGATCGATGGGCTGAAGGCGTGTTGCCTTCAAGGGAGGATTGGTGTATCCGTGACGTTTCCAACCCCACCTGAGCAGGGGTGCCGCGACGTGCACGTGCTCGATTACGTCACGAGGATCGCAGGACGTGGGCCATTCAGGTATCACCCCTGGAAAAAATCGAGGAATTTGCTCCGAATCTCGATAGAGGAAGAACGAGAGACTTGGTGGTAAGAGAGAATGAAATCTTTATATAAGACCTAGAATGACACGAGTATTTTAATATGACTGTTTTTTTTTATCCTACTTTGATGTAGCAGTTATTCACAAATTTTGTTTCTCTAAATCTTGATCGTTTTTATAGCGTGACAAATTTATTGCAAGATATTTTTACTATATAAAAATAAAGGGATAAGAAAGAAATATATTAAAAACAATTTCCAAATGTAAAAATTAAATTGTTCAATGTACTATGTTTATATAAAAAAAGAAACAGATTATTGACGGGATTTACGTAAATATATGTTTTATATTTATAAATAGCTATTACGTTATATCGCTATTATCTTTTATTAATCTTGATAAAACTATTGGAAAGTTATGTGAAAGTTAAGAAAGCATCCCGACGAGGTCGATACATCTCGATCGTGTCAGCGTCGTTCTTACCCCTGTGACTTTACAGCACTTATAATTAGCTTTATACCGCCACGCCCGATTACACACCCTCCTGCCCTTTTACATCCCTCGTCTTCTCGAACTCTTCGAGAACTTCAGAAACAATCACCGACAGTTTCGTCAACGATTAAATCATTTTCACCAAACTAATGCTAGAAATGAGATTTCCTTCCACTGAAATTGATTTTTATATTCAATTAGTTATTTAAAATTTCAATTTATTTGTATATATATATATATATATATAACAACAATAATATAGAGTAGTAAATAAAAACCCGCTTTTAAGCTATTTTAAAATAATACTATTGTACCAAACAATTACCAATTTATTGCGTATTTGTATAAAAATTCATACGAAATTAAAATCATATCAGAATAATAATTTCAGAAAATAAAAACATAAATACTTGATTTTTATTCGGTATCGATTCACCTCGGACTGACTAACTTTGAAGTTATTTCCAGTTCATGTATCTGCCGGCCTTTGTCCTTCTGCTCATCCGAGAACTTTTTCTCGCCGATAACAGGGCATCGTCCTGCGTCGCGCAGCTGTCACATGTCAGAGACATTTAAATATCTTTCTATTAAATTCCCGTCCCCCTGCGTTAGGATTACGTTTAAACCCTCCTTCGCCCTATCTCTCTTTCTCTATCGCGCGCGCGCGCGCGCGCGCGTGCGAAGGTAACCCTGACCCACAGCTCCGACCAAGTCCCAGGCTTTCGAGGGAATGCCCCATTGTGTCGCGGAGACCAAGCAACACTCCCTCCCCCCCCCCCCCTCTTCCTCCGCGATAGGTATGAATTAGCCTTCGAGCAATTGTAGCCGTCAAAGACTCACCCTCCGAGAATACGCGCGCCTTTTAAATTTAGCAAATCCCTCCGAATGGAAAAAAAATAGCGAAACAATTGTTCCCTTTATTTTCTCGCTCCTGAAATAAAATGTTTTATCAAGTTTGCTGTCTCGCGGAATGTTTCTATATTCTTTTTTAAATACAAACTAAATTAAATTAAAAGATGTCGCTATTTAACATGTATATATTTCCTTTAAATTCAACCGCTGTCTTCTTCTATAATACTATATATAAATCAGTATAATTTACTTTAATATAATTGATTATAAAATATTAAAAAGAGTTAATTAACGTACTGTTATATAAATATTTGATTAAAAAATAAATAACAGCTCGGGTTCAACGACCGAGAGAACCAACGTTCTCATTAACGAACGAATCTCGAATAACTGTTATCCTGCGAAACTATCAATCAGGATCACTGTTGACGCTAGTCGCCCATATGTTCCGCGTGAAAAGCGCGCAAGGATCGGTCAGCAGACAGTGAAAAAGGGGGTGGAGAGTGAGGAGGGTGGATTTTTTGATTATGCGAATATCTACGGACACAATGGGACCCCAACGTCAGCTGCTCCTATCATCCCTCGCCCCTCGATCACGGTGCCGTGCACCCCCCGCGAAATAAGCAATAAGTTACGTTAGCACTGTGACGAACTGTCTCCCCTCCACGAGCACCCTCACGGCACCAACCCCCCCTTGACCGAGGGCACCGCGCAGGGTGAACGTCCCATAGTGCAGTTTCGGCGTTCATCATGCTCGCTTCGAGTCTGTGCGATGCATCCCATGTAATGCCAGATGTAATCCAAATTCACTCCCGTTCGAATTAAGGCAACTTGACAAAGGAATTTTTATGTTTGCAAAAACGCATGCTTCGTAAATGAAAATTCTCGGCTCCTTTAATTATAATCAGAATTCTGTGAACGTCGAAAGATTGTAATCGTTAAATGTTTATCTCGTATCCGTCACGTGAGTCTACTTTCGTGATTGTGTGCGATTGAATTAAGTTTGTTTTGCAGAACTCTTCGGATTATATATTTTTTTTTTTTTCGCTTAAATAAGTGTGCGTTAAATACAAGTGAAAAAAGAGGTGAATGAGAAAGAATGATTTCGGTAAAAATCTACCGTATGTGCGAGACTGAAAATATTTTTGTAGTACATCGAAAGGAGGAAAAAGACGGAAATGTTTTGAAGAATGATTAAGTGTGCCTTCCAGGATGTCTCCGGAACCTGTAACGAATTTCAACGAGATTTACTGCCGGATGATGTCCGAAGGAAAAATTGAGGAGGAAGAAGAAGAAGTGTGAGTCTGTGCTCCTTGCGTTCACTGCGGGCTTCCATGTGCCAACTTTTCAAAATTCATAAGGCACGCGGTGAATGCCAAGAGCGGACCAAAATCAACGATCTTCGTCGAGAGTAATCGATTTAAATTCGTCGAGTATCTCTCAAATTTCTGTTACGCAAGGTTAGTAGTAAAAGTCAACGCGATAGTCCATTTTCGAGGAATTTAATAATGTAAATCTAATGATTAATTATTGTATTATGTCTCTGTCCTCCCACCCTTTCAAGTTTATTAATTAACCACATTAGTCTCGACACATCGTTTATTATTTATGTTTGAAAATTATTCCATAATTATTTTAATATTATTGAATATTATTATTGTTATTATTATTAAATTATTATGTGTTAGCATAATATTTAGGAGCCTTTAATTCGATTAATAATCGGTAAGAGATACGCTTAATAATTATTAAACTCGATTTTTTTAACACGCGAGCTTTCCAGCATCGTCCATTGAAAGTAATGTTTTATCTCTTGAAATTTAAAGTAGTATAAAATCGAAATAATAATACATTCTCTTTGGTATATAAATAAATGTAAACTTTTACCAAATCTTTTTTTTTTACAATATTCTGGGTCGTTGCAAAGAGAATTAATTTCTCGAGCGTCAAAAATTAATTTAATCTGGATATCTGCTATTTTCTCCGTCAAGCCTGTCAAGCATCAAAACAGAAAGAGAAAAGGAGTGGATGGAGTGGCCAATGGTGGAAAGCAAGCGTCTCTTCGATGAACGAATGGGGGTAGTCGAGGTCGGGTTTAAAGCTGAAAAGCTTCTTAATGAAAATCGGGGAATTCCCGGGGCGTAGAGGACGAGGACGCGGCTGTTGGTTGTATCGACCGAGACGAAAGGGCGGCGAAGGGAGAGTGGCGGTGGGGATGCTGCGCGGTTTAAGGGTGGACGCACGTTGCCTGGCAACCTTCCCGCAGCATCCCTCCTGGACCGCCGCCGCCGCCATCGACGACTTCCATGATCATTGTTGTCGTCGTTGTTGCGCGTCCGCCATTATTTAGGATCGATATCTCATCCCGACGTCTCGTTCTCTCGATTCGTGATTTCCGTCGACGTGTGTACGTGTATGTGTGCGAGTTTTTTTTTTTTTTTTAGAAAGAATTTTGTAATCTGATAATCTGTCGATGAAAATCGAAATCTGTACGGAACATTTTAATTTTTTTTTTTTATCGGAAAAATATATTTCTCTCCCGAGGTTCTAAGATTTCTATAATGATTCCAAGAACTAGGATTTTAAGCTCTAATAACTGAAAAGAAAATTAAAACATTGCAAAATCATGGAAATTGTAGGTCGGTTCTTTTATTAGCGAGAGAAAGAATAACAACGTTCAGATTTCGATTTTAAATTCTAAATTTATAAAAATATACAATATGCGATAGTTAAAATTAATTTTTTTAAATAAATATATAATTTACATTATAAATTATTATATAAAGAAACAATAAAGTGTTTACGTGAAACGATCAATTTATATATTGCGTGTTTTAACTTCCCAGTATGATTCCTGCAACAATGTCTGATTTTTATATTAATCATATATTTACCAACCGTATTTTTTAGAAGTAACATATTTTATTTTCAGATAAGCAAAACTATATATAAATACATTTTTGACAAATAATAAATTTTTTTATTAACATTCTATTCGATGTAATTTAGTTTAATATTGTACCATAATAATTGATTTGCAAAAATATACAAAAAATGCGATCGAAAAGTTTTTAATTTTATTAATTTTCTGAAATAACCCAAATAATTAAAAGCAGAATAAAAACTTGATTATTCTTTATTATTGTGAAAGAGTCTAGTAAAAATATATTTAAACATATAATTTAATTATGAAATATTGCATGTTAATTACATTTGTTGCCGTTTCATTTATCTTAATAAAAAGTTACGGTTCCAGTTATTCATCTTGTTTTTATATTCCATTACTGTTTCCACCAACGAACTCTTACAGTATTATCTAAACGGCAGAAAGATTAATCGTTGCATGAAAATTAATATAATGATCCCTTATTCTCCCGCATTATTTCCCCATGATTCAGGAAAAACGATATACGCGCCAAGAGATGAACCTTCTTCCTCATCTATCAACATAAATCATGCAACTCTTGTCACTTTCAGAGAATTCCATAATTGTTTCGGAAGTTAAAACGAAAGAATACTAATTATAACATCAGATGTTCCATATTTTTCGTATAAAAGTTATATTTACAAATTTTTTACATTAAAAATTATTTTACCACCTGTTGCAACTTTATAATTAGCGGAGACTTAAGGCAAAAAAGAATTAAACAATATTTGCAACAAAGATATCTCATTAAATATAATATAAAAAAAGTAACGTAAAAAACTTTTCCAATAAATTATTTTGCTTGAATTAAATTTCAGTATTAATAATTATTATTATTACTCGGTTATCGAGAAAATTAAAAATAAAATATATAAATTCGAACAAAAAGTAAAAATATCGTAAAATATATGAAAATTTCGCGTAAGTACTCGGTCAAATTTCGATAGAAATAATGATCATGTCATTATAATTTATTCGAATTCTGCTGTTCCAAAAATTAGCAAACAATTTGATCCCTTGTCTTAACTGCAAATTTTCGTTATTCGTCTTAAACTTCTCGTTTTTCGCGTCGAAGGTAAAAGTAAGACAGCCGCCATATTTCATCCCCCTTTCTTCGTGTCGCGAATTTCTTCGCTCCATCGACCATCCGAAGTGTAGGCGCAACAAAGAAATTTGGATGAAGGTCACTTTGCCAATAGGAAGAGAGCTCGGTGGTGCAGGGACGATGCGAGGAGGATCGGTGCACGCGAAATGCAGGGAGGGAGAGTTTCGCCCTCGTGAGTTCTCACCCCCTCCGCAACCCTCCTCTGTATCGGGAACCTGACTTCCATTCAAGCGATGTGTTCTTAGGCCACCGCAACCGATCTCAATCGCGCTGATTGCCTGTTAACGCGATTATTAACTCTTTGATCGTCCCAGCAAGATAGCAGAGACGAGAAATTGCAAACGTTTTTCAAAATCAAATTGAATACTTAAAACGTCGCTGGTGGTATTTAAAATAGGAACGATATATTTAATTCTTGACCCAAACTAGCCAAGAAAATTTTTATTTTATTTATTATCGGACTTTTTTAAAAACATTTGACTTTTTAAAATAGGAACGATATATTTAATTCTCGACTTAAACTAGCCAAGAAAATTTTTATTTTATTTATTATCGGACTTTTTTTAAAAACATTTGAAAGAAAGTTACCGCATCTTATCGTTATGATGGATCGTCAAAAACTTTATAAAAAAAAAATCCGATAATCATATTGTTTAATAATCATGACAACAGTGTCAACTAACTGCGCTTTTATCAAAGAATTTTTCAAAGGATTTTGAAAAGGATCAAAAACAGATGGTCGAAACGTTGTGGAAATAAAATAAAAATTTTCTTGGTTAATTTGGGTCGAATTAAATATATCGTTCCTGTTTTTTTCAAAATGATATGATGCATATTTTTAAAAAATACTTTAATATAGACTTTCTCAGAAAAAATATTAAAAATATATTATGAGATTTCAGATAAATATATACTTGGAAAAATTTTCTTTTCACGAGAACTGCATTAAACGGAATTGATATTTTCCATTAAAACTAAATATATGCTACAGTTTTATTTCGTAATGTTCTGTGATATCTCGTAAACGCCTTTGTTTAGTTTTATCTCTTGGATAAAATTAAAATCATCAGATATGTATCAAAAAGAACATTAAAACTATATAATACGAGTGTGATTTTCGCGTACATTCGATAATTATAAATACAATATTAAAGATAATCAAAAGGATATTAGAGATAATAAAGATCCAGCATAAATGTAATAGCAATATATATTATACTATTGTACTTGTTTCAAAGAAAATACTACGTATTTACGCACACTTAATTAGACTTCGTATTTACAAGATATTTCGAAATGGAAGAAATTCCACATCGAATAATGAATAAGAGGATTGAGAAGGAATGGAAAGCACTACCTCCAATATATATTGCAACGAGTATAATCATATATTTTCTTCATGAATCAAGTCGCAGTTTAATTCAAGCACGATGGTATTTCGCGTTCAAAAGAAAAATGTTAAGACGGATGATGGATAAGATAAACAGATTAAAAAGAAAGAAGCAAGAGAAGATATGAGAAAACGAAACAGCAAAATAAGGAAAAAACAGAAATTGGAGAAAAGACAGCCAGGGACTTAAAAAAGAAATGTGATATATAATTGCGAAATAATTGATAAGATAAAAGATTGAATATTTTAAATAATAGAAATTGATAATATCTGTTTCAATTGCATAAACAGGTTATATAATTCTAAACTGATAAACTGATCCGTAAAAATGAGAAATACCGGTGAAAAAAGTTTCGTGGAAGCTGAAGAGACGTCCCAGGTTAAAGCAAAAAAGAAAAGGGACGCAAATAGAAGATAGCAAGGATAGATAGATAGATAGATAGATAGATAGAGAGAGAGAGAGAGAGATAATCATTCATTTTTTTTTTTTTTTTTTCGCTAAGAAAGACCTCCACTAGATTCCCGGAACAAGCGCGATATCGAGAAACACGCGAAATGTAAAATTATACAGCGAAATAGAGAAAGAAAGCCTCGTTCGGGAGAGAAAGAGCAACACGGATGAGGGAAGGGTGGCGAAGGGGAAAGGGGAGGCTACCCCTACTTTCATCCCCCTCCCAACCCCTCGCGAGAGAGAGAGCTAGTGGCGAGATACGGGGTGAGATCAATACGGGGTCGCTAGGCAACGAGCCTCCGGCGATCTCGGTCCGGGTAGACAGGGTGCCGCCAACCAAGCCGCCATCTCCACCCCTTCACCACCCCCTCGCGAGAAAGCGCCACATCCCACATAATAAATACCGGCAACTGTGCAACACGGCGCGCGCGGATAACGCGAAGCGAGAAGCATCATCCGCGAAAATGCTGTTCAGGATGATGACGAGGACGAAGACGACGCCAAGGTGAAAGGAGATCGATGAGAGTTCGGGAATTTCGGACGGGTTAATTATTGACGAAGGCCGATCGATCTGTTAGAATCTCAGAGCTGTTTCGAAAGATAATATTTGGAAATACATATATCTACTATATATTGATGTTGTTTATTGAAAGAATTTATGAAAATTTATGCTCCTCGTGCATTTGATTTTTGTAATCTCGCGTAGATTTATTTTTATACACGTGAAATACTTGGATGATAAATATTGCAATTTTTATTTATGAAAAAGATACTTTATATACGCGCGGTATAAATGTATGTTATAAAAGTATTAATTTGCTAGTCTGAAATTTCTATTGCGTGTGTTATAATCATTTATATTTGCGAGGAAAGAAGAAATTTTCTTCCTTATATATATATTATGTAACACTAGTGCAGGATCTAATATACTATAACATTTGATTAGAGCGGAAGCTTTAAAAAAATTAAAAATATAGGAGTATAAGAAATTCAACGCTGAAAGTAAATGAATTATTATACCGTAAATTTAATAAATGAAATTTGATGTCAAGATTATTAAACGTAAAGATGAATTATGTAAATTTTGAAGGACAAAAGTAAGTTTTTTTTTTTAATTGTAATCTTTTAAATAACTTTGACTTGAAAATAATAAGCAGGATCAATTCTAAAATTAGTCCGACAATTGGCACAGCATAGCGGTACCTCGCAGAATCCAATGTTCCGGCGGATGTGACGTCGGCAACCAGATCGCAATGACGAAATTAGTAGAATGACCGGTGGTTGACAGAACACCTTTCCGCTCGCTGGTTTTATAAACAGGACACGTGTACGTGTCCCCATTTTGTATTTTGTCCTTCATTACCGGCATCAGCCAGATCTGAAAACACGCGAGATCGTTTTTCTCCTTTTAAATTTGTCTACTTCACCATTTTTAAAGAATTTATTTTAAAGAATTCTTCTCTCTTTTTCTCCAGAATATTTTTCGAAAAAGACTGCATCGTCTCATCAGTAAATTATTCGAAAAGCATCGTAAAAAATTCAAATAAGGCTCGCTTACATACGGCACAGTATCGTAAAGTATTTTTGGAAGGGATTCATCGAGCTTCATCGTTGTCATATCGAAACGAGCTCCGTCGAGAAATAATCCGTAAATGTATACTCCATCGTTCGGTGGCTTATTGAAAACGGTCTCCTTTAAAGGAAAGAAATCATAAATCAGGAGATCAATGGGTATGGAATATTTTCTTGCGTAATTCTGACGAGCGCCTGTCAGAAATGCTTGCGTGAAGAAGAAACCAGAAATCCAAAAGGATGTTGGAGAACCTTCCACATACCAAGTCTGAAATAACATACCATTGTGTATTATTTTATAACCAGGATGTTAAAATGTAATATTCAACAGTTAAAAACCTTGCGATATTTAAAAATTTAAATAAAATTTTAAAGCTATCGCTTCCTCAATTAAAAGCTGAAGATTGAAAGAATAATTATAAATAAATTTTTACGCGATAAAATAAAACGTTTGTAATATGTCATGCACAATTCACATTATTTTCTCTGAAATTCACCTGCAGAAAGTTTAGTCTTTTCAAAAAATCGTATACATAGCTGCCAAGCGGTTTCAGAGAGGGATAAGAGTTCGTCATCCACATCTTGGGTATCCTGCCGATAATAATCGACGAATAAACTTCCTCGAGTTCGGGATTCATAATGATAAGACCTGAAAACGGGGAAAGTGTGAAATGTATTTCTACGAAAAACTGAAAGATGATAAATTTGTTTACCTTTGATCGCTTTTTGGACGTTTATAAGACTGCTCCTGATGGTCTGGAGGAGTTTATTGAATCTGCCCATCTCTTGAACCAATACAGTGTTCATACTTTGTTCGTATAGCGTGGGATATCTGTCGAGGGCAGCCACCAGGTCGAAATCCTGCGGCAACTTCGACAGAACGTCGGACGCGACGCCGTGAACGATCTCGTCCGGCGATTTCTCAGCATCTATTTCCGCCTTGCCGGTATCCTGACGAGAATTCAAGGATTTTCCTGACACAAAAATGGCTCGCAAACTTTTGATGAGATCTCTGAACCGCAATAATTTAATGCTATTAAGAAGTTTTGATAACTATTATAAATAGACTTTGGTGAACTTAAATTGATGAATATAAACTCGATTGGAAATTTCATCATTTTATATGATAGATATTGCATTCTTTTCGTACAGTTAAGTTTAAACTATTATTTCTCAATCGAATAACTAGTGTGAAATTTCTATTTTAAAGTTGTACTTTCGAAGATTTCTATAATAATAGATTGGAATAATAATATTTGGTTTCTTGACTCTTTTAATTAATTATATGAAAATTAAACAATTCTGATTTATTAAGTCCATTTATCAGGGAAATACACGTGTTTCTTAAATAAACATTACTTACTCTGAATTGTTCATCATTCTGCGCAAAGATGAAAAGACAACAAGAATTTTCATTATTCCATTATATGTATACATATACATATGTGTATTCGAGATAAGAAATTAATTATATATAAATAAAGATAGGAATCTCATATATATATATATATATAAATTAAATCTAAATTTTCCAATTTATATTCAAAGCAGAAATAATTAAAGTTTTTCATAAAGAAAACAAAAAAATCTTTACTAAATTAATATAAGAGATACGTACCTGAGTAGTCACCATGGAGGACATCATGAGGTAGGTCTCCTGTTGATCTTTGATAATGTCGGCATTCTCGTGCATGCCAAAGACACTGGGTGCGGTGGTCATCGGCAATTCTCTCACGTAGTCCAAGAATTGACTGTACTCGCTAACTGTCGGTATGTAATAAAGGCCATTGGGATCAAACAGATATTTCCGATCGACCACAATTACGTCCTCGCAGTAGAATCGCGTCAGGATCGTGTTCAAGGTCCGTCGGTCCCATTCGTCGGTCACGCGGCCTCCATAATTGCACTCGCCTTGGAAAAAGGTTCATTTTAATTCAGTTCTAAATAATTAAACCGAATGCCTCTTATTTTTTAATCTTAATTTTCAATCAATGCGTGCAATTTCATGGAGAATATTAGAAGAATTACTATAATAAGAATTATCACTATATACTATACTATATACTATACTATATACTACACTATATACTATACTATAATGAGAACTATTATAAATATATTATACTATATACTATACTATATACTATACTATAATGAGAACTATTATAAGAATTTAGAAATAAATAAAAATCGAAGAAGTATTATTTGAATACCCGTTAGATACTTCAACGCGGTGAATTGAACGTCATCGTATTGGTCGAGCAAGATCTTGAGCTGCAGCACGCTGATATGCAAATCTGTCTCGTTGAATTCGTACTGATTGTTCCAACCGATCGGTCCGAATTTTCGTCTTTCCTGCACGATGGCGTGGAAGAAACAAAGCGAGAAGAGCAACCGTTTGAAGATCTCTCGTTGCTTTGACTTATCGAAGAACTCGGGATCGCAAATCGGGTCCTACCGCAGCATATAATCGAATCTCTTAGCTCTTAATATATTATCGCCTTCATAAGCGGAATGAAGAAAATTGTTTCTACCTGATGAAAAGATCGCAAAATATTCGCGCGTAATCCTTTCGGAGGCTCGTTTGTCATTTTCACGCCGTTTTGAAGGACACTGATCGGAAAATGTGCGACCGGGTAACTCGTCAACCACAATCGAAAGTCAGGATGCACAGTTTCCCTTGTAAAACTCTCGCATATCTACATAAAATCAAATAAAAATATAAAAAAAGAGATTTATTAGAAAGTTCAACATTATTTTGTCGGAAATATCATTTCTAAAATATTTGTTGCGAGTTTAAATTTTTAAACTTAATAAAGATATTTTAATAGAGTCTTAAAATTTAATTTAGTACACAAAAAATTTTAATTAATATTTAAATTTAATAAATTTTCTCCACACACACACATTAAATTAAAATATTTTTTTCAATAATAAATTAAATTGATATAATCGGAAAATTACCTTTTCCAAGATAGGCATAAAGGTCTTAGTAACGTGACAGTTTTGCAGCACTACCCAAGTGCCGTTTTTCACGCCTTCGTCGATGAGACCTTCGGCGATGACCTCTTGCCCTTGGCCTAGCGATAATGAGAACAGTCTGCTGGCACCGAATCCCTGATCGTCGGCAAACTTTAACAGAATCGCCATAGGGTCCGCGCCGGGTGTTAGAACGAATATTAACGGGATGCAGGAGTGTGAATCAGCGAAAGAGGCTGCCAGATCGAAAGGTGGCGGCACGATGTACTGATGTCCTAATTGCTCTATCAAATCAATAAATTAGTAAAGAAAAAATTTTACTAACGCGTCAATTAAATCGCCAATTACGTTGGATTTCCCTTAAATATTGCAAAAGAAGAGAAATAATAGATATAGAGGAGGATCATTGCAAAAAATTTTATTTTGCTCTCTCGCTCGCGATATAGCGAGATGTTTTAAGTTCTTTGTATTATTTTTAGTCCAGGTCAACTTATTCTTGGATTTGAACAGCTGCTATTCGTTTTCAACTACTTTACCTTCAACAAATAATTGTACCGCTGGTATGACTTTGTCAGGTCGAATGCAACGAAGGACCAGCATTCTTTCAAAGCTGCTCAATTTATTCCAAGGAGCAGGAAAAGACAAAATATGAGGCTCCTTGTGATCAAACACCTTTTTCCACTCGTCGATACTTTTTGTATAAGAATCTTTTATCCCCTGAACGATAAAATACAAAAAAAATTATATTTTAATACATTCTCTCAATTAAGTTTCTGAAAAAATTAAAAAATTTTAATTGATAATGAAGGCTCTAGTTTCCAATAATAAATGTTATTTAATATATAATTTTATTAATTTTTAAACAAACACCTAATAAAATATTCTTATTACTTCAATGTTAATATGCTGATTTGTATTATTGAAAAAAAATTTACCGCGAATCCTGGCACATCATCCAGTCGGCACAGTTCGTCCCAGGATCTTGCAGGCAACCATTCGGTAGGATTAGCAAAGGGATTCTCAAGTCCGACGCCGCCGGTCAGCAGGAACATCCACTGGGCCATCGAAAACTGGCCCTGCTTGTTCAGCAAGTTCACGGATAGCAAAAGCGAAAAGAGCAGCTTGTCTTTCTCGAAGAGCGAGCGACATATGTTGACGTACAGAGAATAGGTGAAGCATCTGTTAAGGTCCTTCAGTCGTTGTTTTATGTTCTCTACCGGTGGCGTGTTCTCGATTGTATTCTTAAAAAGGTTGACGAACCAGGCGAGGGAATACTGGTACATCGGATCGATGTTCGCCAACATAACTAGGAAAAGATTTTGCAGGAAGAATAAATACCTTGCAACATTTTTAAAACTCCGAAAAAATTCGAATTAAATAAAAAAATTGAAAAATCTTTAATAGAGAAAAAATTATCATATATATTTTAAACATATATTCTTAAAATTAAAATCCGTGCTAATTGTTATTTTAGACTCATAAACTCATAAGATACGATTGAATTAAATGAAGCGTGTTCCTGCAAATTCGATCGATATTTTTGTTTGTGTGTTTTGCTCACCAATCGTGAAGAAAAGAACAGTGCTGTAGACTGCAATCGGTGTGTACTGCAATCTCGCCGCGTCAATGGACTTCTCGGTTATCTCGGCAGCAGTTTGTTTAGTCTGAATCTCGTTGGCCAGGTTCTTCGACGAACTCAACACACTGATAGCCGTTTCGTCCTCGAGGATATTCTCCTTGGCTGCGGAGAGTACTTCGAGAATCTTATTCTCTATCTCCTTTAACATTCTGCGGAAAAACATTGCGAAATATCGCCGATCGAAATTAATTTTAAATTGCAGAACAATGAAATAGAAAATATTTAATATTTGCTTTTATATGTCAAATACATTTTATTAATTCATATTTATTTATCCTTACGAGGAAATTATATTACCTAATTTTAATTAAAAATGATAATAATTTCGCGATTGCGAAATTTCTTATTTGACAGTTTATATAAAATAGAGTATAGAAGAATATTCTACGTACTTTTTATTAGCCGCTCCTTGAACTATCAGCTGATTCTTCTCGGACTCTAGTTCGGGTCTTTCTTTCGCAACAACTATGCCTAGAAGTTGATCGTCCAAGCCGACTGGAGTGATCATAAAGTTCAACAGAGTTACCTTCACCACAACTTCCGGTAAGTGTGATGTGGATTCCGTAATTTCGTAGTGATGTAAAATCTACGCAAATGTTTAAATAAATTTCATTATATACAAAATATTTCTAAGAGATTAAAAGATAGAAGAAGAACGTTAAGAACATTTAGAAAGATCCAGCGTGATTCCAAGAAAAAAAGAACCAAGTAAATTGGTTGACAAACTTGCCGAAATTTATCCGAATACTCGATGATGCTGTCGCCGATCTTGATGCACATCGCGCCACCGGATTTAAAGGTCTGCTTCATCAACAACGGTTCGAGAGCCGCGTCCAATTCCTCGCCTATGTTCTCCAATAACACAGGTTGTCCGAATTGTACAGCATTTTCCAGGATTCTCATGTAGCCCGGCTGGGTGAGTCTTACGACGTGCAAACTCGACGCCTTTTCCATATTCTTCACCCATTTATTTGCCTGACCCTGCGGATCGATCATCAGCGGCCAGCGACGCGAATTCGTGACGATTATGGCATTGTCGATGGAGAACAGATCGCTCGGAAGGCCAAATATATTCCAGGCGCGGATTTGCACCGGATCACCCAACACCTGCGTAAGTTGAAAGTCTTGTGTGCAAACGACCTGCAAATCGGTGCAGAACTTCACCCAGTTCTCCAACTGTCGTTGCCGATATTGCATCGTGAAGACGCCAAGGTAGGCTACTGCCCCCGAACCGATCAGAATATCGCCCGTTAATTTGTGATAACGTTCTCCGAGCGATCTGGAGAAAAGTTTAGAATTGTTTAGAGTCAAACTAGAAATATAGAATTTAAAAAAGTACTTTGAAATTTTATGCATCCCTCTCAAATGCTGATTTTATATCTATCTAAAGTTTTTCTTCGAAAGACTTCAAGTCAATCCTCAATTAAAAATATAAGCTACAAAATGCCATATATTTACATTATCAACCAAAGAATATCTATATTTAAAGAAAAAAAAATAATTAAAGCGTTTTAAGATATACATATGCGAGAAAATGTTTGGAATAATTTACTTGGCAGTCTCGGACCATCTGGTGTATTCGCCACCGAGACCCCCGATGAGTTCTTCGGCTCTTCTCAGCTTTTCCTCGCACTCTTTCACCTCATCGGTCATCGCTTGGTATTCTGCTTTTCGTTGAGCCAGCAGAGTCTCTAGCCTTGACAATCGATCTCGCACTTCTTGTAGCTGATTTCTCTTCAGCTTCAGCTGATCCATCGCGGCGGAATAGTCGGCTTCCGCTTTGGCCAGAGCTTGCTTCTTCGGTGCTACTACCTTGGCGACCTTGTCATACTCCGAAAGCGCGAATACCCAGCGACAAAGACCCTCGCAAGCTGTCGACACTTGTCTGATTCGTTCAGGATCGAAGTTAGGATTCGTCAAAATTGTCGTGCGAATCTTTGTCATAATCCGCTCCGGAATGTTGTCTTTATCATAATTTAATAGGGACTCCAAAAATCGTATATCACCCAGAATGCGAAGTGACGGTTTCCAGTAATCATCGATCGGACCCTCCGGGCCTTGTACTTTTTCTGGTTTGACGTCCTGAAATGTTTAAGAAAATTTTTATAAGAGAAAAAAATACAATGCTTTTTTTCCAAAGAGTTTTGATTACAAAAATAATTCATAACTACACTAAGAGCCCATAACTATACTAAAACTGTTTAATAAAAAGCAAACTGTCGAAAAACAACCAGCATCTCAACTTTATTATCGAAATTGCGAGTTTTTCGAATGAAATAATTGTTTATAAAATTTTCTAATTATTTCTATTATCAGAACTCTCGTTGTACACGTCCAGAACTGCACAGAAATTGTTTAATATAAAGCAGAATTCTTGTAATACAATCAGTAGCTCACATTTATATGACAAAATACGAGTTTTTCTCGAGTATTATTTATACAAAATAAGCTATATTAAACATTAAAAATCGACAAAAATAATAATTAATTTTTTACTAATTTTTTCTAAGAACAAAATATATTTAATATAAATATATTATTTGTTATATAATTATTTAATTTACCTTCAATATGCAAACTGCTTCCATGACCAATCGCACGCCGGCCGGTGGCCGCTTCATGGATTTGACGATCTGGATGTCCTGCGGAGTCAGAGTGTTCAGAGCTGCATTTGCCGCGTCCAGGATCGGCATCACTTCCTGTAGATCTGCATCACATTCGGCACGAATCTCTTTGGCCTCCGCGGCAACGATCTAAAATACAATTGCACAAAAATAATATATAACTAGCAAATTCAGAACATGAGATGCACTGAATTTGAGACACAGAAATCTTGCTCGATATTATATAAAGTCTTAAATACGAGATATTAAAAATTAAATAAATAAAACAATTATAAAATATGAATGACAGTGAAATAAATAATTAATGAAAATAAATGAGTTGATTATAATATTGGAGGCACTGAAAATTGATCTGCTCTCACCATAGCAGCTTCCTCGTCCTTTTGAACAATCTGCTCCATCGCGCTGGCCTCTTCATTCTGTCGTTGCACATCCAGGAACATACCTTCCACGTCCTTGGCAGCCACTAATAATTTCGGCTGCAGAGCCACCAGGATCTGTTGCATCCTGCCCACCTCCTTACGCGTGTTATCCAGCCTGCCGAGGCCAGCCTCGTACCGCTTCTTACCCTGTAACACTTCTTTCCTCTTCCGGTCTAACAGATCTTTAAACGTGTTGATTAATTCGAGATAGGACGTCGGCGTAACATAGTTGTGACGATTCAGTTGCTTCAGGTATTCCCTGGTCAAGTCTTGCGTGGACGTATGGAAGTACTGACACATCTCGATACAGGCGAGACGTTCGTCCTGCGGCATCTCGATCTCGCCGAGGAATTGTGTCGCCACTGCCAACAGAGCATCCTTCGGCCAAGGATGGAACCAGTCGATGGTGCAGCAATTCACCAGCGCGGGAAACTTGCGGACCCTTGTGCGGAAGCTGTCGCCGATCGGCGACATCGTTACCACTACGTGCAAGTGTTCGCGAACCGTCTGCACGAAGAAGTTGAAGAGCGCCACCGGACTTCCGTCTGTTTGGACGGATCTAGAAACAAGAAGACACATCAAATGATTCTTGATTTCTTCATTCGTCAAGAAGATATTCCAACAATGATTCCTTCATTCACCAAGAAGATATTCCAATATATGGTTCTCCAAATGCATTTTAGCAAAATTATTTCAGTTTTATATAGAAAGTGATTCTCGATAAATTAATGATTATAAAAATATTCCTCTCTTGTATTTTTATTATTTTGTGAAGAGCACTGTATTAATTATTAATTACTCAAATATAAATAGCATTGTTCTAAATTTAATGAATATGCGAATTTGCATTTGTAATATCCAAGAGAGAGAGAGAGAGAGAGAGAGAGAGAGAGAGAGACATCAATATTATTGCTATTTATATATTAATCTAAAATTTAAATTATTTAATAAACGGAATGTTTTATATATTTCACGAGAGAAATAATACCTGTCTCTTTGGCGATCGATGATGCGCATTTTCTCGCAGATCTCGGACTTTTCATCGGCCGCGAAAAGATTAGGCACTTCACCGGAATTAAGGAGATTACTGATATCTTCTAGAAATGCCTCCTCCTTGATCTGTGTGTCCATAAAAAGGAAGACTGTGTGCAGGTCGCTCGCGGCGCTCTTGCGCAAGATATTCTTCAGATCCTCGTGCCATTCCATCATGCCGTACTGCTGGGATATCTGCACTTGAAAGAGCTCGTAGTCGGATATATGAGCTGCCAGCTTCGTCAGGGACTGTCGACCGGAACCGCCCATGCCGACTAAAAGTGCGTGACTACGCGGCTGCATCATCACCCGACAGATCTTTGAGAGATGTTCTATCGCAAATCTAGAAATTAAATTCTCTCTTAAATCATTTATATTGCATTACATTTTTTAAATCGGCCGATGACGCTGCCAAAACCGAACGAAAATGTTGCTAAAATCGTTATAAGAAATGACATAAATTAATATATAATCATGTCTGATATTAATGTAATTTCGCTCGTATTAAAATAATTCTGGAAATTCTTGAAAAATCTTAAATTATATTTTTATAATGCTAGTTCTATTCGATCTTGATTGAGAGGATATACCTGAAGAGCACCAAGTTCATGGGTGTTTTCGAGATATCGTTGTACTCGGTGAGATACTCCTCCACTGCTTCGGCGAGCGCATCCCAATCTTGAGTTTCTATATACAACTTCCGCTCAGCGATCGGATCATGAAAGTCACAATAAACGAGATTGCGCAGCTGCACTTCCGTTACTTGCGCGTAAGGCTCATCCACTAAATCTTCGAACAATTGATCCATATCGTCATACATGTAAGTCTTCATGGTTCTCCGAATTTGTTCCACCAGCCATTTACTGTCGGCCTCGTCGATCAACCGATCTCCATAAACTCGCAGTACCTCGTGTACCCACAAACGCTTCATAGAGATCTTCAAAATTTATTAAATAAATAAAAAAATATGTTAATTTAATTCTGATGAACATAAAATCTAAACAATTAATATGTAAAAATAGTTTAAGTATTTATAAAAAGAAATAATTGAGATTTTTTTTTCTAACGTAAGAAAAAAGATGTGAAAATGAAGATGAATGTATTCATATCTTACCACGTCGGTGATGACTTCAGGATCGGAGAGCAGCACACCTTGGATAACGCGTGAGAAATCACGTAGATTAAACAAATAGTGCGACTTGGCGGGAGTCGGCAGAAGTGTATTTCTGATCTCCTTGTATATATCAAGGGTACCATGAACTATGTGGTTCACGCACGGTTGAAAAAACTCCGGGAAACCACGTGTGACGAAATGCCAGGAGGTGATCCTGCCAAAAATCGTAATCAGGACGTCGTCGTCGAACTCGGGAATCGCCAGGACGACAAAGTGTCGCTTAAATCTCGGCGTGACATCACGTCCGCTCGCGGGTGGACCCATCGCGCACATTAACTGAACATCCACAAGTTGGATGGGCACTACCTCCTTCCGGTCGTACCAGGTCCGGTGATCCAGCCATTGACGCAGAAGTTCAATGGGCGGCTGGGCACCATATTCCTCCTTTTGTGGCATCGATACGTCGTCCACGAAAACCACCCAGTGCTGACCGGGTGGCGCACCGTATAAACCTTATCACGAATCATTATTAGATAACTGATCAAACAATAGCTAAAAAAGAAACAATAGTTTTTATCTTGAGATCTATTGAATATTGAAATTAAAGTACAATCACACACATGATTTTAATAAAGGAATCAAATAGAATATTTAAATAATTTGTTCTGTACCTTAAAAATATAAATTACAATAAAATTAACTCGAAAACCGATCGACGAACCTTTCCTTCTCCGATCCAGCTTGCTCATAATAATATCCTGCGTCTGATTAGCTGTTGTCTGCGCTGAAAATATCACGAAGAGCGGCTTGAAGATTTCGGGATTGTTTCTCTTCAGCAGGAACTCCATGATGTAGACAGATTTTCCAGTGCCGGTCGGTCCGACCAGAAGGATCGGTTTATGATGACGAACGAGATAATGGAAGAGATGAAAATAACGGACGGTCTCCACCGTTGAGATGATAATCTGGTTAACCGGTATGTCCCTGGGGATCGGTGGAACGTCCTTCAGATCCTCTAGCCAAGGTTGCCATCTGCCCCTACCCTCCTTGATGTATTTGTAATCAAAGACCGAGCCGGTGGTCGGTAAAGGCACTACGTATGGTTCCTCTGGATTGCCAATTTCCGGCGAGATGCCGAAGCGTTGCCGCACTTCCTCCGGAAATTCGCGGTCCACTAACGCCCTGAAGAGCGCACTGAACCACTCGCGGTAGTTGACCATCAACGTCACGCCCATCGCCCAGATGCACGAGAAGAAGAAAATGCCCTGTCAAACAATTTTCCTCAAAGCTTTTTTCATATGTAATTTTTGAAAACGATAGAACTGTCATGAATTAAATCGAGATATAAATAATAAAATTAAAATCAATAAATGTGTTGATTATTACTTCATTAACGTAATTAATTATTATAATAAAACTTTATATAATTTTGATTAAATAAAAATAAGTAAATTTAAATAAATAATGATATAATTTAAACTTGCCTCTACTTGCGCTTTCATGTCCAAGTCTGAAAGAGTGCTCACGTATTTTTCGTCGTGAAAATCGTCGAGAAAACAATCATACAAGTACATGACTGAGCGCGTCAGATTAGCATCCGGCATCGTTATTATTTCCTGCGAACGAAAAGCTATAATAATTTAAGTTTCAGCAGAACTAAAATAAATTTCTTCAAGAAGTTTAATTCGCGTGAATTTTATATATTTTTTTCTTTTGCGTATAAAAACTTTTAAAATACTATTTAAAACAATCAGATAGAAAAATCTGAATGCTTTAAATATATCGGGAAACAACTTAATGACATTTACTCTTGCACCGCAACGGCGAATCAGATGCAACAGAGGCGTGCAAAATCGTAGATAGAGGTCCTTCAAATGACTCTTAATATGTTCGGTAAATGATGGTGGTAATGTGTTAAGCCATGAGATCAAAAGCGGCGTCCAGCCCAGACTCACTGGCTCCATATAAATCATGCCACATCGAGAAACCGTGGCAGGAGATGCAACCTGACGAGAAGAGTGTTAATAATGCATAAAAAAAGTTTTGTAGTTTTAAGTAATAAAATTTTTGATGTTTTACAATTTGCATTACAAAAGCAGATTTCACACAAATTATTTCTCACATAGAGCCTTCTTAAATACTATGATTTGATTAAATAAAACCTCCAAATCCATAGGTTCGAAAATCAAATTTGTCGTGGGTGCAAGCATGATGATCTCTCCAGAAGTGAGGCAGAGTTTCTTATTGTCGTCTAACACGGTGTTCATATTCTCGATCCAGAGAGCATCCACCGGTCCGTCGAACACCAGCCATTTTCTGTTGAGATTAACGGAAGTGGCAAAGGCGCGGTAGGCCACCGCCAGGACACCATCGCTCCATTCGTGGGAGGCGGGATCGAACTGTCCATAGAGCTGGCCCATTGTAATGGCTTTGGGATTGATAACGGTGATCTCCACGCGATGTTCTTCCATCAACCCTCTGTCCTCTAGAAGACCGAGACAGTTAGCCAACATCCGATAGGCCGAAGTTTTGCCTCCGAATGGCAAACCGACGATCATGAAGCCGTGGCGCACGATCATCATTTCATAAATCTGATGGATCTTCTCGAGGAAGTGATTTGTGCATTGCAGGTTTGCTGCGGCACAGGCGTCACGTGTACACGCATTTATATGCGTGTAATCTGGCGTTGGTAGCACGACACCCGGAAATAAGTCCGAGGCTATTCCTAATACCGTAAGAGATTAATTGTATATTAAAGATATAAAATGTATTAACGATAAGATATTTTATTTCGTAAATTTTTGAAATAAAAACATATACATTAAATTAGCAAAATTCTTACCTTCGAAGAGCGGCAAATCATGGACCAAGAACTTGGGCAGATTAACATCCAGAATACTTCTTAGCATTAAAATGTCCTCGGACTCTTCGGGATAGCGAAGTTTCAAGTTGCCAGCGGCGATCAGCACAGACTTAACAGCCCTCATACCGTAATCATAGTGATGCTGACTGCTGAGCTGCTCCGAGCAAAGCTTATAAGCAGTAACGATCTTCACGGCCAAGGGCCGGCCGTTATAGAAACCATAAGAATATAGAGTGTTTTCCGCGATAAGGGCATAATCGGGCACCATCATGGCAACGGGCCGAAAGAGGGCCTTGAGATTGTCAGGTAGCTCAGTTCTGCCAGCATAGCCGGGATTCATGGTGATGAAGATGGCACAAGTAGGATCGAGGTAGATTTCGGTACCTTCGAAGACCATCTTCTCGGCGCCGGCGTTGATGGCGCATTGGATCGTCAGGATCTGTTGAGCCACGACCGACAGGACCTCCAGGTCGATGCGATTAAACTCGTCGAAGCAGGACCAGGCGCCACACGAAGCGAGGCCCTTAAAGAATTTGCCTAACGCGATGTAGTCGAGACCCTCGGAACAGTTGAAGACAACACACTGCTTCGCCACCGCCTTCGCTAGGTCCTTCGTGGTCTCTGTTTTGCCGGTACCAGCTGGTCCCTCAGGTGCGCCACCCAGATGAAGACTCAGGGCACCGAAGAGGGTGCGATAGCATCGATCTGTTAAAGGAGTGATCACCAGACGAGATGTATTACCGAGATACTCGCAGCCATAACGTATGTACGAGTTGATCATGTATGCCCACATGTTGTCTTCCTAGAATTAGATATTCAATTACTGAAATTTTATAAAAATGCGATATTATTTATTGATAATAATATTATGTGTTCGCACCAGCCAGTAATATCTGAGTTGACACAACCATCTAAAGTCGGTATTTTTGATTACATGCTCCTTGTACAATTCCGCGAGAACGTCCTTGCTGTGAACATCCAGGGTAACCAGAGCCTCTAAAAAATATTAATATCTATAATATTAAAATTCTTATTTCTTTAGATTTTTTTCTTAGTAAAAAATGTTTTTTCTCCAATTTAAAAAAAAATTCATACCTAATGTGATGCGATTTTGCTTGGAGAGAATGCCTCTGATCAGCAGAATGATATCGTTCAACTCTTCTTGGCTCTGGTCCAAGTATCTTTTCAAACCGACCACTCCTTTCAGCATAGCCTCCTCGACTTGTTGCGTCCAATATGTCTGACCTACACAAAGGACAGTTTGACCGGGCCATTCGAGGACCCAGGCTGTCCTCTTCTTGATATGATACGCTAGAATCGCTTGGTGCACCATGTGATGGACGCTTTTCCGCATCTCAGCCTCTAACTCAATCAGCCATTTCTCGACTTGTCCTCTGGCAGCAGAAGTAGATATTATTATCAGGATCTCGACCTCTTCACCTTCCGCAGATCGCATTGCCAGTATTTCCAGGTCCTCGTTGAACTTTAATCGAGCTATACCCTCGAAGCATTTTTTTAGATGTGGCTGCACCCTGAAAAATGACATAATAATGTCTTTATATATGTATATAATTTTTATTTGTCAAAATCATTGGAATTTTAAATATCAAATAGATAAATAAGCTCATTTTATTTAAATCAGAATTGTATTGTATTTAGAAGACTTAAAGAAAAAAATTATCTTTCTTTCTTTACTATTAAAAATTGAAATTAAAATTAAAATAGAAATTAAAAAAAAAGTAAAACACGTAAAATATTGTTATATTGTATTGTATTATATAAAATTTAAATTGATACTATTATAGATGACTAATTCTAAGAAAAAAAACTAAAAAATTGTTTGTTAATTTTATAATAGGTGAAAATAACGAAGAAATTCGCGATAATTTAATTCACGAGAATAAACAAAAAGGAGAAAACTCGCGAATATTTCTTTGTTATTTTCACTTATTTATAAAAAGTTTACGAGTTAAAAAAAAAATCAATCACCATATCATACTGTAGAGCAAAGATTCAACTTTAAGAATCTATGCTTAAAATTGTTGTACGATGATTTTTAACGGAGTTATGAACGATTAAGATGAAAATGGTATTTTCTCTTGAATTTGCAATAACTTGATAAGGAAAGATCGAAATTTAAATTTTAAAAAACGATTTTGCAGGGAAAACTTTAGGCTTTAACGTGAAAAAATTAAAAAAATTTTTCAAATCTTCTTGTGTATGTGACATGTCTACAAAGTGAGAAGAAAATTTTCCATTTCGTATGTTTGTCGTTTTCTGTATGTAAAAAAATATCAGAATTGAAGAAAATGAAAAAACCTATGACCTTTCGAAAGTAGAGATTTCAAGCTTTAAAACCCTTTTTTTAAATTTAAATTAATATTTTTCGAAACAAAGTTACAGCTATTTAAAATTTGCCTGTTTTGGACAATTATTTTGAGGAATGTATAAATATATTACCGTGTAGGATCCTTTGTCTCGGAAAGAATTTCCAGCAACTCGTCGTTGGAGAGGAAGAAAAATCTGGGGAAAAATAGTCTCTTCTTTTCCAAATAATCATTTAATCCTTTCTGAATAAGCTCCAGTAACCCATAGCTTTTTTTCAGTCGCTCTAGCATTTTGTCGATTTCAACGACGACAAGAACATGAGAATCACTGAAAACATTCTTCATGATATCTCGCCATATCTTGTCGACCTGTGCAAACTTTCTTCCTTCTTCCGGCATCTGTTGTTGGATGTCGGGCGAGGTGAAAATCGGTTCTAGGTACATCCACGTACCTTGTACTTTTAGCCATTGATCCAAAATGTCTTCTAACAGATGCAATGTCTTCTCCCATTTGCTGCAATCAAAATGTATTAAATTCAAACGTGTTAAGTTCTTATTATAAATGACGAATGTTGTCTTTTTTTTAATATATTGCCCTGTTGTGATACTTTGTTTACAAATATAAAATAATTTTATTAAATAATAATTTATAATAATCAAAAACAAGAGAGATATAAATAAAAACTACATTATAAGTATTATAATATATAAATAAAAAATCAAATTATGATGAAATAAAACAGACTAAATTAATATAAATAAGATATAAAATTTTGTGTATGTTAATACTTTATTTTCAATATAAAAATTTTCGCAATTAAACTTACATTATCCTGGTTTCGAAAGGCTTGATGTACGGCGAGTTTTTAATGGTGACAGCCTTCGTGATATGATCGTCGAGCAGAAGCTGTATCTCGTCGACACCCGCGATAACGTAAGTGCCAGTGTCCTTGTAAGAATTTACCGTGAAGACCAAATCGGTCCAGTCTCGTTGCATTTTATCTATGCCCATCTCCAGAGTGCTCTCCTTCGTGGCGGCCTCGGAGATGCTTTCAAACTGGGCAATATAAGAGTCCAATCTCATCGCCAAAACCTTGCCCAAGGTCAGATCAGGCTCGAACTTGATGGGAATGCCCACGATCTCCGAGATTTGGTCCCAGTGCCGTGATTTCATTCCCGGGTTTCCAACAGTCATCACCACCGGCATTCGATCTTTGAAGTCCTCGATCTTCTCGCGAACCGTGGCCGCCAAATCCCGCACATTCGGTTCCTGGAACACCTTCTCCAGCTTGTAAATTGCCCTAAAACACGAGTTTCATCTTTAAAAATTGTTACATTTTATCTTCTACTTTATTTTAATATCAAATCTTTAATTGTAACTTTTATAATATAATTTATCCGTTCTTTCTCTTTCTCCTCTTTCTGTAATATTATATTATATTATTCAATATAATTTTTTTTTTTTTTTATATTGACCTGTAATACTGTGCTACATCGTTGTCGATTTCTTCAGGATTGAAAATACCAATTGTGCTGTTTATCCATTTATCGTATTTGGTCAAATACTCGCAAGTGCTGTCGAAAAGTTTCTTGAAGGGTTGTAGGCGGTCGGCGATTTGTTTTCGCAGAGGATACTGCGTAATTTCCCAGCCAAAGGAGGCCTCTTCTTCATTAAATTTGTCGATTTTGTCCATCGCCGTAATCAGACGATTTTCCAGATGTTGCGCCTTACGCTGATATCGGTACACCTCCTCGATGTCTCCCCAATATTGCACTTCTTCTACTTGTTTCGCGTACGAGTCCAGCTCCTCTTCGAACTTTACGTATCTAACTATAAGAAGAAATAAAAATTTATTATGAAATGTGTATACAGATATAAATAGCATTACACAATATTATAAATTATACATTTTATAAAGTTTATTAATAAACACATGTTAGCATAAATAAAAATAAAAGAATTCAAGCATTATATTTTTTCGTGATTGAATCGTGATTAAATTATTTATAATAAAATTTTATAAAAATCATGAATTAGATAATAAAATAAAATTGTGTCGACAAAAATAAAATATAATAATTGTTGAGTATCAACCTTTCAACGCTTCTTGATATTCTTGCGTCTTGTTCTCGATAATCAGCCGGTTATCCTCGAAGATCTGAGGTATCTTGTGATACCACTGAAAGGCCACACTGTTTTTATTCATTTCGCTTTCCGTGAGTAACCAGTAATCGGATAAAAACACGATGTGCTTGGTCACATTCAGCAGTTTCTGCTCCAGACTTTTTATAGTGACCTCACTGGTAATTCGGATGAACTTGATGAGTTCCATCAAAGCCGCGGTGTTGGGAGGTGGGGTCAAAGCTCGTTTGGAAATAGCTTCATATTCCGCTATAATACTAGATACAGACGCCATTTCAAAAAACTGATTTTTATATTTAAATATCAATAACCACAATAAAACATTAAATCCAAATTTTACTAACCAAAAATTATTTCAATTTTATCTTGAGGAGATAGCAAATTTTATCATTTTGATATGAGATATACTATAGTATTAATTAATCTTTAAATAATTTTTGGAAGTGCATTATAATTTCTGTCGTATAATATATAAATTATAAATTAACAATAAATTATATAATATGTAACAAGTAAAAAAAAAAGAATTAATTAGAATATCTATTTCTAAATATTTACTTCTTGGTCATATTTTGATATTTATCGACAAGATGACAGATTAAAAGTCCGTTGAAGTGTTCGACGTTTTCCACAATAGTCCTGACAAAAGGAGCACGGGAAACTTCGAAGAATCCCGCGAAAACTGTTCTTTCGACTTCAATTGGGATTCTTCCGGCGAGATCGTGATAATAATTAATTTTCATCTCGTATTCCTTCAGTTTCTTGGTCTCATCCCTTAAAAAAGCTTCCGTCCGACCAAGTTCTTCGTTGTTGTAAAGATGCGCGTATCTAAAAAAGCAGGAATTATGTCATCATGTTTTTTTGCAATATCATTTGCAGTAGAATCGATAAACACTTTTTCAATTCTGCCATCTTCTGTTCTGGAATGATTCTTTCGCGATCAATCAACTGATTTATTTGTCTCTTGAGCTGGTTAACGATGTGCTGCGATATCTGCGGCTGTGTAAATCATATAACTGTTTATAATAAAAGTTTAAATAATAATCACACTTTATGAATTCACCAATTATCATATAGATTGCATCGTAAAGATTGCATCATTATTTTAAATATAATTATAATCATTTTTTTTATAGAGAGATGTAATATTTTTTATTTTATAATTTTTATCTTTTACGATTAAATTTTGAAAATGAGGAATAATTGTTTACTCAGTTCTCTAAATTTAATAATGTGAAACCTTGAGGAATTCTTGAGGTCCCGCCCAGTCGAGGTAGAGTTGCGTCTCCAATCTTTCGAAATTCCTCACTGCGTTGCATATCGCCTCGAGAATGTCGCAAAGCGATTCCTTAAATTTATCGAAGGACGGCTCGAAGACGAGCTCATTGGAGACGATGGCAATGCTTACCTTAAAGCGACAAGCTACAGGCTGTGGAGGAGCATGAAAAATTGAATGCACTTTTACCAAGTATTAATTTTTAAAGACTTTACATACAGTTTGAAATAGAAGAATAAAAATTAAAATCTCTCAAAAATATTTAAATTTTAAATATAGCTTTTTCATCTACAAAAGTAAGTCAAACTAAAAATAAAAGCATATAAAAATGTCTATAAATTTTACTTGTTACATCCTAAAAAAATTTCATAAGATTTAAACAATTTTCTGTATGTATGAATATTGATTTGAATATCTTCAGTCTTTATGAAAAAAATAAAATCTACAATCTTCCTAAAGTATTTTCATTTTATGGGAAGAAAATTATTTTTACGCAGAGAATTTTAAAATATGTTTGATTAATTTTACTATATACATAGTAAAATTTGCTATGTACATATTAATATTTGTTATTGTGATAAATATTAATTAGATACACTCATAAAATTCTTCCAATACCACATTGTTCCACAATCACCATGATTTTCAGGGTAAATTCTAAGAGAAAATTCTCTCCATGTATAATAATTTTATAAATAGAAAACTTGTAGTGCGAAACTGAAAATAACGTAAAAACTTAGTTATTTTGCAATTTTTCATTAATTGCTACAACATCTGGGCGTTATACGCGAGTGATATGAAACTCAAAGCGAGAGCGGACGAACGAGCCTTGGAAAGCATCGATAAACAGAAATTGATGGAAATTGTGTCCAATAACGGAATGTTCCAATAGCGCACGACAGGATAAACGGAGGAAGGAAACGGCGGACGTGCCGCTTTCCTCATCTGGCAATGATTTCGCGTCGATCGATCGCGGTAGATATGTATGTATATTCACCTTGCCGTCCACAACGTAATTAATGAAATCCCGCAGAGAGTGCTTGCAAGCTTGTAAAAGATGCGACTCCATCAACTTGCAGGCGCAATCGAAGAACCGCTTGAATTGCTTGCGACGTAACGGGCTAGGCACCAGTTTCTTTCTATTGTTCTGCAAAGAAATAGAATTAAGATAAAGGGAAGAGATAGAGTCGGATGAGAAAATATATTTCTCGTCTTTATAAACGGATTTATTTGCCTTAATAATTTCCAGTGAAGTTTGTAGATAAATAGACGGAGAGAGAATAGGAAGAATTAGAGCTGATTAAGATAAATTGTTGATTTGTTTTCTTTAATATTTTCCAGCACTTTCAACTATCGAATCGAATTTTAACAGATAAATAATTATTTAAATAAATAAAAAATAAGAACCGTGAATAAAATAAATTGTTAATTTATTTTTTTTTACTTCTTTTAGTATAGAATCATACTTTTTATTTGCATTTAATAAAATTAACATTATTTTTTCCGATCTTATTACCACGAGAAATATCTCCTGAATTCCGCTGTACCAGTCTTTCTTCAAAATCCGTCTATTGGTAATGATCTGATGTGTAATTAAGGTGTGGAAATTTATTAAATCCCAACTTTCTCTGCGAGCGACGATATGTTTTAAATCGATCAATCGGAATTTGCTGAAAAATGTGATACCTCTCGCTGAAATAATGCGGTAGCGACAGTTCATGCAATAACGAATTGCATGCATAATTCGATACCTGTAATCGCGAATCCAGAGATCCAGAGTCATTCGCATGCACGGATTTATTAAATACAAATCGAGGCGCAACATATCGCGACAATATTCTATATGTTTTCGAAAATCCGGTTGAACATATCGTTGATTTTCCACGGTTGCATCAAACTGTAACATTTAATTGAAAAGATTAGCAATGCAATTTTTATTAAATTTAATCGACATTTAACATATTAAACTAATGAAATAATTAATACAATACTTTATTGTTGTAATTGCTTAAATTAAATTCTGAGATAAGAGATCTTGTCAAAAAATGTAAAATTGAAAATTCTACATACAGAGAGCTTAATATTTTATATTATATACTTCTCATTTTTTCTTAAGCAAAATACAATATTATTATTAATGAAATATTAAATTTATTTTCAGTCATTTTTATAATTTTCATAAGTCAACAACTCGAATTTCTTATTTTGAATACACTTTCGACTTTTATAATGACCAACCTCTGAAGAATATTCTTCGGAAGGGTCAGTAAGTGCAAATTCGATGATGGCCCTCTTAATGTTCTTTATAAAGTCTTCCTTAATTTCGATCATCAGATTATTGGCAAAATCAGGGAATTGATTGCGCAAGTTGCTGGGAACCAGGTCGAGTATTGCTTCGACGAAGACCTGCTCGATGCTCGCTGTATGAATTGTATCAACTCCATTGCAAATGTAATAATAATATCTATTGACATCCTTATCGTCGCCTAGATCTATGTCCTTTGCTAGCAAGTCTGGTTTTACTATCAAACCTACGATAAATCTAAAGCAGATTTGTTTAAAATGTTAAACTCTTGCTGAGAAAAAACACTACACTTAATATAATTCAAATCGTTTCCTTGCAAATGCAATTATTTCACTAATTTTATTAAATTAATTAACTTATCGTAAAATAATACAAGTGAATAAAATGCTATAATGAAAATTTATTAGAAAAATTTATAATAGAATTAATTCAAAATATTGTTAATCATTAAAATAAATATTCACGTAATGTCAAATATAATTAAACTTTTAAATCATTAGGTACCTGAATATTTATTTTAATTTAATAACTTTAATAATAATTTTAATTGTTATATAGAAATAAAAATGTTTAGAATTTTTTGAAAATATAAATTTACAAGAAATTAAAGCCAAATTTTTTCTCTGTTTTTTATACCTGCGAAATTTCTCTTCGCGAAGACGTTTTGCAGTGTAAGAACTCTCATGAAATTTTTGCACCTTTCCTTTCATCCTGATTAATTCTTCTCTTTTTCTTTTACATCTTTTAGGACTCATCAGATCTGATGGCAAGGAAAATAGTGGCTCCACTTTTATGTCGAGGATCTTTGGTACTTGAATCGTATCCTCAGATCGACATTTTCGTATTTTCGTTTTCTTCGTGTGAGAACTTTCCATATTTAATCGTAATTATTAGGACAATTAATGTCGCGAAACGATATCAGATTTTCAATATCTCTAGAAAATATAAATAATAAAATCATTAAACTATAAAAATGTAGGTAATTTTATTTTATTTTTTTATATAAGATATTTTTTAATTATATATACAGAATAAGATATTTTATATATAATAATAATTAATTGTTTTTGAATAATAAAATATAAAATCTATACAAATATTATAATACATAGAAATCTATCAGATATAAGATATAAGATTTTTTTAAAGTTAAATATTTATAAAAATGTATTTAGAACATATAATAATTTTATATAAATTTGTTAATTGTTTATATTTATAAACTACACCAAGCTTTAATTATCTTGATCTATAATTCTCACTTTTATTTTTATGATAAAAAACAATGTTTTAAAATAATAATATATTATTATTTTGAAACATTTTGTATATTTAAATGTGTTATAACAATTATTTTTAAGAATATTTTGTAATAATATTTTGATGAAATAAACACATAGTAAATTTGCATCGCTTTTGAATAGCCCGCTCTTTTAAATGACGTAACAACTACAGGGGTACCATCTATATTCTGTATCGTCACTCTAACCTCTAATACACGGTGATACACGGCGAGTGTTTGTTTCACTAAAGGTTCGCGATATAGATTTAAAATTGGAAAATAATCGCAATTTCTCACAAATATTAAGGTATTTACATCTCACGAAATTACTTTTTAAATTAACTTGAGTTTACACGACTACACGTGTCTTCGATAGTCAATCGCGTTCCAGAATCTGCGGTAAACGCAAACTGCATTTTCGATCGCAGTTTCTAGGCAACGTGATTGATCGATTCAATGTAATTGAATCTCGTGAATGTCCTAATTAAAATAATTTTGCTTTCGCGTCTCTCGCCCTTTCACTTTTTAGTCAAAAGCAATCTTATGTTTCGCATGCGATTTTTAGGTTATGTTCTAGATGGTAAAATCAACTACATTCTAAATATCGTTGCAGTTTGAAATTAAACAACTTATGTAATTTTTACAGTATATTTTACGAAAGATTAAATTTTTTCATGGCATAACATTTTGTGTTTCACACTTGTCAAATAATAATTAGCATTTGTAGCTTTAAGATATTGCAATTAATACATTATTATTCTTTTAAATAATTTACTATTTGTAATTAATATAATGTTGATAATATATTCTAGATGATTCCAGCCCAGATATTCCGTTTAATTCACAGAAACAGCTTGCTATATACGTCAAAGAAATCTCCATTACAAAAGCTGCGCAGAAGGACTGGTTATACTTTGCAAAATTGCAAGAAAGCTCTGCAATTATATGAGAATGATCTAGAAAAGGTAAAAGACATAGGATTATTTACGCATGCACTTTATAGTTCTAATTGACTAAACGATGGAATCTCTTAGTCCTCTCTTGCTTTAGGCTGAACAATGGCTGAGAGAACAAGCGCAACAGCATGGCTGGACACAAGCGGCCAAATTGGAAGGCCGTAATACTAGTCAAGGCCTTATCACAGCGATCATTGACAAACAATATGCTGCATTGGCAGAAATTAATTGTGAGACTGACTTTGTGGCACAGAACAAGAAATTCCATGGTCTCGCAGAGAAAGTAGTTGCTACTGTACTGAATCATGTAAAGTCCTATGGAGTTCTGAATGAAGTGCAGCGAAATGTATTCTATGCAGACAATCTCAAAGCTTTAATCGCTCCGGATGGCAAGACCCTCGGCGATCATTCCGCTCTAACCATTGGCGACGTAGGCGAGAATATCAATTTGAGACGCGCTTTGGCCATCAGTGTACACTCGCCGCACATGATGGTATTTGGTTGCACACATCCGACGCCCATGAATCCTATACCTGTATCCTTTGGCAAATATGGTGCCCTTGTCGTTGTTAAACATAAGAATAAGGAGGATATACAACAAATGAGCATGCAACTCTGTCAGCATATCATTGGTAAGTTTTATTTATCACAAAGGTAATCGAAAAGAGAAATTGGAAAGAAAGACAGGGAACTAATACTTTATTTATTTTTTCTCAGGTATGGATCCGCAAAAGATTGGGAATCCACTAGTGGACGAGCCGCATAATAATGTAGACGAAGAGCCTTGCATGCTCTATCAAGAATTTCTGCTTGATCCTTCTCTTTCTGTACAACAATTGTTAATGGAGACGGAAACTGATATCGTCGATTTTGCACGCTTCGAGGTTGGTGAGAATTTCGACGAAGAGCCAACGATAGAGCACGTTCAAACTTGCGGGTAAAATCAATTTCAATATTCTTGAAGAATCATTATCCGGCTTTTTCGATTATTTTTCGCATTTTCCATTAGTAATAATTTTTATGATAATATTTGATGATAATGACAGTTATTTTTATTGTAAAATAAGGAAAACTGTTATCCGAAAAAACCATTTACATAATTAATATTCAATAAAAAAAGAATAGAAATGTTAAATCTTATTGCTATGTACAGTGTATTATGTGTAAAAAATAGAATAGATAATACCTGTAGTGTAAAATCTAAAATTATTATTTATATCTCGTTCCTTTTACTTTATATTAAAATAACTTTTGATATACAATTTCCGAATTTCAATTACAGTTTAAATATTAACGTGACTTAAATTATTAATTCTTTTTAATACTTGTATTTTATTGATATATATTATTTCATTAATTAATATTACCAAAATTATCCATAAGAATGTTTAAATATATTTATATAAAAAAAAAGAATCTAAAAATTTATGTGTGCATCATCGGGATAAAAAAAAATACACTACGAAAGATCTTCACGATACAAAGTGTTGGCAGAGGCGATAGCTTGATTCGCTTTGGTTCTTCTTATTCTTCTCGCAAGCCTCACCGATTTCCACAACCACATCCGGGAATCTTTCTTCCAGTAAGGCGCGATTTCCGCTGGAGAATGCCTCGTACCCTGCAGGATAAATTTTTTGTTGTACAGTCTTTAGGATAATTAAATTTCATATTTAAATAAAATTATAATATAAATAAAATATAAATTCAATATTATAAAATTGATTATTTTTAGGAGTTATTAAAAATTAATCTCTTTTAATTTTCCGCTTTTTGTCTTGTATACTTATTTATTTTTAATATTATATTCTAGATGTAATAAATTTATTTATTTTTAAATCTCCTTGAGAGTACTAATGTTAAAAAAAATTAATTGATTATTCTCTCTAAGAATTAATTAATCATGGATATAAATCAGGATGTCCTTACCTGGAAATTTAAAATTTCCATTCCCTGGACCACCAGTTGAAAAGATGATATTTCCCTCGTCTTGAAAACTAGGACGTTGTCCTCTGGCTCGGAATCATTAAAATAATCCGTTTGTGCGTCGCTCGTCCTAAGTTCTGGAAGCTCCTTGTTATTCGTCTCAAGTTCCAGATTCTTCAAAGCGGACGTAAAGTTTTTAATATTCTTGCAAGATCCAATCTCAACCTAAAAAAAAAAAAAGATAAACTTATTAAAAATGCGCAATTTTATAATTTTTTATTTATCCATTTTATATCAATCAATAAAAAAAATAATTTATGTGAAGTAGCTAATTTTTCAATGTTTTCGAAAATTTATTTTAATCATAATCTTTTTTATAATTTTACCTGAATTCCTTGAGAGCAAACGTTACAGTCCAAAGCGACAGCGGCCACAGCATCCTTCTTGGTCGCGGGATGATCGTTCTCATTCCACTTCAGATTTTCAACTATCCAGAAAGAAAGTGCACGTTGTACGTTATAAAGGGGGTTCTCGCAAGAAGCATGTCTCTACGTCGATATACCGCTCGACTGATCCGATTCCTCGTTTTGCCAATCCATCGAAGGATCTCCGCGTCGTCGAAGGGTGGGAAGACGGAGTCACCTCTTTGACATTTGTCGACGAAGCCCTCATCTCTTTGTCGCAGTCTCCTGTCATTGAAAAATGTGCGCCGAGCGCACTTTGTTTCAAGACTCGGGTCGAATCGCATTGATGTCTTTTAAAATATTTTTTATAAATTTAATATTTAAGTGTTTTTTTTTTAAGCTATACGCATTCTTATTTTATCTTAGAGAACTTAGAAATTTTTTTTTTTTAATTTCTATATAATTTCATTCTGTTTATTGTATAAACTTTAATTAGCACAAGTTTTAATTTTGTTATAAGCTTTAATGATTAGTTAATTAGTATTTTTTTTTTCATTCGAGAATAGAATAGATTGCAGTAATATTTATTAAAATTTTGTCTCTATCGAGATACAATATTGTCTTTATGCACACCTTCCATTTCATTTAATTTATATTTTAATTAACATATACAATATTAACAGCGAAGCATTAAACAAAACGAGATTGTATCTCAATTATACAATTTTTATTTTCTAATGATTACATTCTCATTTTTTTAAATCTTGATATCTTGCTTCTAGATTCAATTTATAATCAACTTTATATTCCATATGCAAAATTTTACTTTGCACAATAATTCTTTTATATCCCCTTACTTCCTGTTATCTCGATTCTCTTTAATTTTTCGCGTGTGTTTATAAAAAAATGCATTTAACATACGACGAAACGAGCGGAACAAACCGCGCTCGCGAGGGGCTCATTACATGTTCTAGGACGTGTAATAAAACCGCTTGCGCTCTATCTATCCGTAGCGAAGTAACGTTGGAAAGGCAGTGGAGGCTCAGGGAACAGGTGTGCGTGCGTGCTGCGTGTTCAGGCTCAGGTGAGATCGCCATCGCCGGGGCCCGAAGCGGCTGCTGTTGCCGGTCACGGCTGGCCGGCCGGAGTTCCGGGGCCCACTTCCGGACAGCACCGGTACGGTCTCTCCTTTTCAGTCGGGAAGAAGTATCAGTTGTTCGCAATATACAGTTAGCCGTCGTACACGCATCATACACGAAGAGAGAACCGAGTGTATCCTTGCTCCTTCGCGCGTGTCCTCCGCGAGGTAGAGGTGGCGTTTAAATGGACCCCGATTGCCGATGATGTCCGCGATAGCGAGAACAATGGATTTCCCCAGGCGGGTGAGTGTGATCATCCAAGGCGAGTTTGATGATGATGGTGATGAGAAACGTGAGTGCGAAGCTTTCAGAATTTTCCGATCAAAAGGGGGATCAATCTTGCGCTCACGTTGAATTTCTGTCAGCTGTAAATATAGAATAGATATGTTAGAAGTAGTTTTGAAGGATATATTTCGAGTAAAAAATATATATACTTCTTATTTTTAGCTTTTTAAAAGCTTCTTCATTTTTTAAAGGTGTCTTAAATTTTTTTTAAATTTAATTTAATTAAGAAATATCTGTTTTTTCGTTTGATTTTTTTCTCTGTTATAATTAAGAAAACATTTCTTCCCCCTCTTTTTCCGTATATTTCTGCTCTGTTTAATGCTCGCATAATCACAATTAATTAAGTAGGCAACTAGACTCACAATTATACATTATTATGAAAGAAGCAGACAGAGAAGATAAAAAATAATGGAAAATTGATAGAAATAAGAGATAAGGAAAGAAAAAATTGTGTAGTGTTAACAAGATTTCAAGTAATGTTAAAAATAATGAACTAATTAACGGTGGACTGAATTAAAGTGATTTAAAAAAATAACAAGATATATTTTACTAATATTAAATAAAATTGGATATATAAATTTTGATTACTTTTGTAGAAAATTATATTCTATTAATTTATAAATTCAATTCTTTAGATATCTTTAAATATTTATGTCTAAATTATTCAGATATTTATTTAAAAAAAAAACAAACCAAATTACACATTTTAGTACTCCCAAATTTTATATTGTAATGTCAGCTCTTTTTCATCTATTATATATTAAATATAAGTAAATCATGCAAAAAAATCATCCTTTTTATGAAGATTTTCGCAACTAATGCGATCAAACGACAGCAAATTTTCACCTTTTGACGCAATTCTCATGTAAAAACGCGCATGCGGGTGGCAGTTGCGATTTCCGGTCTCGCAGTGACGGTAATCGTCGCGGATGATGCCTAAGTCACGCGTGTGCGTGCGTACGTGCGTAAAAGTATGTAAGGTGTGAGTATATAAATGAGACTCATACATACAACATACATACATACATACATACATACACACAACAGAGAACAAAACCGGCACAATGCCGCGACGTAATGGGCCCCGTCTTACCGGGATCCGATGTGGTTACAGGTCAATCAACTCGAGACAAAGACAATAAGCGACAGAAAGTTTCTGATTTAGAGAGGATAAAATTAAAAATCGCACATTATAGTTGTACTATTATTTAAATTAAAATAATAGTAATTTAGAATAATCCATGATAAAAAAGTATTTAAAAAATGTATCCTTGTTTAATTTATCCACAAGTATTATGCAGATATTATTAATATTATACATTTTCCGTATCACTTGAGTGAAATTTCCATATGACATAATTTTTTGTTATGAATGTTATATTGAAAACGAAAATAAAGCTATATTGCTGAGTTTTAATTATTAAACAACTAACTTAATAATTAATTAAGTAGATAATTAAAATAAGCAAAAATAATTATTAAATACCTGAATTAAATTAATATGAAATTATTTCCTAAGCACGTGCACAAGTTTCAGACACGCGCTCATGTGTACCTGCAAGGTAGAGAAGATCCTCGCGAGCTCTGGTATTTCAGCTTTCAGTCCGCTCACGAAGAGCGTGAGCGCAGTTTCTCCGTTGCGAAACTCTTCATCGCTCGTTTGCCTGTGAACTCGTCCGCGCGAAACATGCCGACAATGTTATCGTGCCGGAATTAGTTATCGTTAATTGCTTTGTTGCGTGCAATGTTCGACGTTTGATCCTGAAAAAGTCCCGTTTCGAGAGAGTTTCCACTTTTCCAGCATTTCTTCTTCACAGCAGTTTCGAAAACTCGCTCGAGTACTCGAGTACTCTGACTTTATTCTTACATACAAGACTGCTAAATCGAGTCGATTTATCGTTATTTTATTATGTAATATCGATTTTTTATATATGAAAAATCAAGTGCAATTAGAGAAAAAATTGTTTGAAAAGAGAGAAATCTTCGAAATTGGAATTGTTGGTGATAAAGATGACGAGCATGCTATATGAAGATTTGAATATCATCCCACAGGATGACAGAAGCTACCGCAGTGATGATTCCGGTGGCGAAGTCTTCAGGAACATTCCAAAGAACAGCAGCATCTTTCGCGTCTGGAAGATTGAAGTAAGAACTCTCTATTATTAACTAAAATATTTATTTTGTAAAACAAAATTATCATTTTAATATTTTCATGATAATTATATTAATTATTTTTTATGATGGTTATTATACTTATTAAATTTATTATTACAATTTATATTTTTTTTATTTCTCATACTATAATTAATTTCATTCTTAATCATTTCAAGTACATTATTTTTATTTGACATCTAACACTTACATATCTGTCAGGGTTTGCGCGCAACAGCCGTAACCAGCAGCAACATGGGGCTCTTCCTCTCCGAATCGGCTTACATCGTCTATGCTGCATCCGCGAAGGACGGGCCTCTCCCTTACCCAAGCATGCCGGTACTTTTACTTCTATTGTGTTGTATCGTTGCAAAAGAAACCGCAAACGCTGAACATTGCCTCGTACGCGAAATCCGTTCTCGACTTTCCTAAAAATGCAATTAGAACTTGTTACAAAACAAACAAGAGGAAAATTAAGGCTTAGTAATTTAATTTCAAAAATAATTTAGTTTGAAAATTTTAATATTAAATCAAATAAGAAATATTTGTATCGGCTCTCAGTATTAATAATAATATAATTATGATATTTAAATCAATATTTAATTCGATTTTTAATATTAAAAATGTAGAAATAATATTTTATTTAATTTTATATATAAAATATCTATTTAAATTACTCTCTCTCTTCTCATACACACATGAGTTTTTATTTAAAGCGTTTGGCCTCGAAAAATAAATTAATATTCAGAAAATAATTTTGTCGAGACACTATATCCGGTATAAGATCTTTCGGACTTGTAATCTTGATAGATCAAGGACCTGAAGGATACCTCGGTAGTACGTGCCATCCACTTCTGGATTGGTGTCAACTGCGATACAACAGTATCCGGTGCCGCGGCTCTTCGCGCCGCCGAGCTGGACTCGCAAGCCTCGGCGATGATCCTGATGCGGGAAGCGCAAGGCCGCGAGAGTCCCCGGTTCCTCAGCTACTTCCGACAGCGATTGATCATCGAAAACTTGCACTTCGAAGATCTGCCAGTCTGCACTCTGCATCGAGTCTCCGGGGTGGCTGTGCCGATCCTAACGGAGCTTATGGGAGTCCGCTGGGAACATTTTAGTTGTCGCGATGTCATCCTAGTGGACATTCGCACAAAGTATGTCATTAGAAATTCTGTACATATTCAAAATAATTATATAGTTGCAGCAACAATTTCACTTACCAAAAGATATGTGGAAATATCTGCTGAAAGTTTTTGTATGCAAGAAGTATACATGTCTTCCAAGAAGAGTTTACAATTTAAAAAATGACAAATTTAAAAAAGTAATTCTTTGAATACTTACAAAAATCTGCTACAATTAAATAAGATTTTTTAAATTTTCTTAGAGGTGTCATCTTCCTGTGGTTAGGATCTCTATCAGATCCGCTGCACAAACGTCATGCTGCTAGTCTTCTAGAGTCCCGAAAAGAGAATAATAACGGCCGTGTAGTGGTGGTCGAGGACGGCTACGAGCAAACATTGCCCGAAGAGGACAAACAACTCTTCAGCAGTGTGTTGGATTCCTCGATGAGGATGGTAGCGCCTGATCGTCAGCACCGCATCAATCCACCGAGTCCCATCAAGTTGTACAAGTGCAGCGAGCAATCAGGCAAGTACAAGGTCGCCGAACTGAAGTCCGGACCGATCCTTTGCGGCGATCTAACTTCCAATTCCGTGTATCTGGTGGACCGGGGCGAGGCAGGGGTTTGGGCCTGGGTAGGTCGCGATGTCAACGCCAGGGAGAGACTGGAAGCTGTTAGAAACGCACGTGGTTTCGTCAAGAAGAAGAATTACAGCGACGGCATGCCGGTGGCCAGAGCAACAGAAGGTAGAGTATGCAAGACGGATTTATTATTCAGCTAAAAAGAAGAAAACATAAATAAATCAATATTAGCAATCTCACATATAAGACGAGCTTTGTTTGGTACAAATTAATTAAAGATCAATGAAATATAATGGATAGAAGTTGCAAAAAATTTTGGTCAAAGATTATATTAATGGTTGAATAAAAATAAAATGCAAGGTCATGAACCGGCGGAAATGAAGGCGTTATTGAGAGGCTGGGAGCCTTCTAAAACTAGACCTCTGACTTTGCCGGTGAGTTTCGAATCCGACTACATGAATGAAAGACCCAGAATGGCGGCTGAGTGTCAACTAGTGGACGACGGGTCCGGCGAGAGGACTTTGTGGAGGGTTGAGCAGAAAGAGGGCATGGTCCAAATAGAGAACGACAGGGGAATTTATTATGCTGAAACTTGTTACGTGATGCTGTATAAGTACGGCCAGGGACGAAGATGTCGAAGTATTGTACGTAGACATTTACTGAATTAAATTTTTTGTTAAGCGTGTCGTTTAATAATTTTTTTTCTAAACTAAGTATCTTGCAGAAAACCTACATTTTCTGAGATTTTCTTTTAATTTATCCGGTCTTATATGTATGAGAGACAGAGAAATATCTAAATATTTAAAATATAAATAATTTGTAACAAATGAAAAAATTAATATACTTATGAAATATTTTCTTCAGATTTATTGTTGGGACGGTGTCCATTCTATCAAGGTAGATCGTGACGCAGCGTTGACGGCAGCTTGTCATTTGTCCGAAGAGACGAATGCGCAGTTAGTGAAGGCATCCCAAGGTAGAGAACCATCTCATCTATTGCAGATCTACGATGGCAAGCTGAAGATACTTGCTGGACGTCACCGCGATTCGCGTAAAGTTCCCATATTGGTTAAACTATTATTTAAACAAAAGTTATTAAAAACTATTGTTTAAATTAAAGCTTCTTGATTTTTGTAGCGCCAAAGAAATATCTGGTCAGAGTGTTCGGCTCGACGCCATACACGTCAAAGGCAGTGGAACGTCCGATGCGAGCGAGTAGTTTAGATTCCAGCGCAGTGTTCATCCTCTTCTCCAACATACCAATCGTCTGGTGTGGCAGCAAGAGCACAGGCGATGCTCGACAGGCGTCACGACGTCTTGCACCCAGAAATGCACCCCTCATTATTGAGGGTAAAGAGGGCGATGACTTTTGGGTCGAACTTGGAGGTAAATTATAAAGAGAGATATAAAAAGGTAACTCTCGATTTTTCTTAAATCATTCATTCATATTTCATTTCTCTTCTTCAGGAACAGGCACTTATGGCACGGAAACTGAGGAAGTTGGTGAGGAACTGGACAAACACCTTTTTCAGTGCTGCACTGAAAATGGTCTCTTTGTGGGCGAGGAAGTTCTCGGATTTCGACAGAACTCTCTGATACCAGAAGCCACCTGGTTGCTGGATGCTGGTAGCGTGATCTGGGTGTGGATAGGCAAATTTTCCGTTCCGAAGACATTGCAAGAGTGTGTCGAGGACGCTACTATATATCTTTACACACATCCCGCAGGTCGAAATCGCAATACGACCATTTCGGTGATCAAGCAAGGTGAATTTCAAATGATAAAAAATATCTTGATATAACTAGAAAATGTCCTTCCTGAATATTTAGAGTTAGATATACTTTTAATTTTTCTTCCTTCAACTCTTCATTCAATTTCATACTTTATTTTTATTGCTCTTCAGGTTTGGAACCGGCCACCTTTATCGGGTTGTTCGAGAACTGGAATCACAATCTACTAAGGGATTACAAACCGTTCGAGGTCTTCTGCGCCATGCTAGAGGACAGAGATCAATCAACGAGAACGCAGATGGCCTCGAAGGCTACCACGGATTTCGATAATTACATCAAGTATCCGCCGGCAATGCTGAAGAGCGAACCAGATAATCTGCCAGCTGGCGTCGATGTCAGACGCAAAGAGATGCACTTGACTTATGACAATTTTATTGTAATTTTCAAAATGGAACCCGCGGATTTCGAGAAATTGCCCGCATGGAAGAGGCAACGGCTCAAGCAGGCTGCTGGACTCTTCTAACATTTATAAATAATCGCTCCTCGTGTACAGGATATAAAATTTATATTGATTATTACTTTTTCGATCACAAGATAAACTTGTAGGCAATCTTTCTTAACAAATTACTTTGTTACTTTACTCTACTTTGTAAGGATGATAAATATTTATTAACCTGCTGGTATCGCGGGGATATACATAAGCCCACTTAAAAAAAGTTTAAGCATTTTTTTTTTTTTTATGAGAGTCAGCATTTAGAAATTGTATTCTTTGTTTGCGCACACTCGGTAATATTTTTATTACAAACATTTAAAGATTAGATTTGATAATCAACACTTACTGTTTGAAAAAAGTTTACTATAACTTAAGTTCATATAGAGTGCAAAATCAATTACGACGTGTCCATCGCCTCGTGTTGAATCGTGCGCACAGTTTCCTCCTCCACAATGATCGGCGTTATTGTCTTTGTAAGCACCGCGGTGGTACCAGGCTTGTAACGATAACTAATTTGTCGCACACCCTTCACGCTGGCTCTGTCATATGGTCGCAGATATTCGACGCCAGCATTGCGAATGACGCAAAGATCCACGTTGGATCCTGATGCTAAATCGTTAAACACGCCAGCACGAATTGCATCCGCCACCAACTGCTTCGCCTCTTCCTCCTAAACATGACAATAATTTTTTTAATTCGACGAAAATAGCATTTTTAATAAAATAAAAAAAAAACAATTTTAATATGCTATTTAATATAAAAAGAGGAGAGCGTATACAATAAAAAATTTACATAAAAGTATATATAATATTATATAAAAATATTATTATATACTTTGGTGTGAATTTTATATTATATAAATATTTGAGTTTTAATATAGATTTAATAATAAATATTATGATAAAATTATCACTTATATGTAATATAAAATTATATTAATAAATATTTTTGACTCTAAGTTCGCTAATCCAGTTTCCTCCCGATTTAAAATTTTAAGATAGCAATGATTATATTCTTAATTTTAATTATTCTATTATATATGATTAAAAGCACTCATTACCGGCAAATCAGGTCTCCATCTACTTTCAAAAACTGCCATTGCTGCCAACGAGCCGGATCCCATAGTGGTGTATTTCAATTTCTCGGTGGAGCCATGTGGATAAATGCAATACAACTGCGGTCCGTCCAGATCGTAACCACCTAGGATGAGCGCAGCACCAATATGGCCTTGATAACGAAACAGCATTTGCTTAATCAATGTGTTCGCAGTGCACACAGGCACGACACGGCCGGTGTTTAGGCGATGCAACTCCAATTGGCTGGCTATCATCTCGGTGGTCATCTCAGTATCGGCTGCTGTGCCAGCTCCGCAACAACTATATAAAATTTAAACAATGAATTAATTTGAATAGTTTAAATGCATTGTCTATGTTTATAACATTAATTAATTACAAAGAGCATGACACTCACTACATATTGGGAGCAAGATAGTGAATTTTCAAACTATATTTGTCTGCAACAATGGTGTCCTCTGTAGCTCGCGTATCACCACCAAGAATAACGCCATCCTTGTATATTATACCAGCAATAGTAGTACCAGTCTTGACTGCTTTCGGAGCAGCAAAGCCTTTTTTGATCAAGGCATTGTTCCTGTTCAAAATGAATAAATATTAATAGAATTGTCCACATTAACTTAAAAATATATGAATATATATTTCTGTAATGAAAAATATTACTGGTTAATTTATCATTCATTATTTTCTATGTAACAAGTATTAATCAAGTAATTAGGAATTATAATATAACCAACATGATTTGTATTACTATCAAATAATTATAATGTTATGACACAGCAATAATACAGAGAAATTAATTTGGTATTTATATTAAAATTTTATTTTATCGAAATTTTGTATTCTGCTTCTTTTTTTACACATTAACAGAAGCATTTAAAGATATATATATATTTTAATATTATAAAAATTTATAATCTATTTTACAAGAAAATTGTTTGCTAGGACTGTGTGACACAGCAATATCGACATATAGGTTAACTCCTGACAACTATCACGAGAAATAAGACCAATTTATGAAGCAGAATCCAATTTTTACCTTTGGCAGAGATCAAAGGAAAAGCCTGGGGCTGGAATTTCTGGCGCGAGCAGCGAAGTCATGATCGCTTTTCTGTCAAATTAGCGCAACCAAAATGACACAGAAACCCTACGCGATGATACTTGTGTAATCTTGGTGATCCATCACTTTAACCAGCATGGAGTATCATATTAATGTAGAAGTCACACTGCGTCTGAAATTTGACACACGATGTCAGACGTCCAATAGAAGAGCTTGATTTCTAGGGATTTTAACTACAATATTGAAAGATGTAGAAATCAAGGTTTTCCATTGGACATCCATAATCTGTGTTCGAATTACGCTCTTCTTTGTATTAATTTATTTAAGGTCTTCGTGCGGTGAAGGTTGAAATCTAAAATGAAGACAAATAGGCGGGAAACCGTATGTAAGAGCCGGGGTGTACTTATATAAATTTCAAAAAAAATGCATGCTTTCCTGAAGACTGGGAAATTGGGCGCTTCAACAGACGCGAAGAAACCATCGACTTCTCGTGCTAAGGACGACAAGAAGGACTTGACACCATGGGTGGAAAAATAGTAAATATCCTTTGCTATTCTCAAGATTAACCTCTTTCGCGCGACCTTCAAGAAAACAAACAACTATTATAAGAATATTCTTACCTGAAAATATTGTTTTTCTAGCCGTTCGACTTTTTTATCACTGCGTCGTTATTCCTTGCAACTTCTAAAGGTGAGATTAAGATGTTATTTCATATATCCTTTGTTGTTTACAGTCGACCAAGGAATGTCGACGACATCGTGGAGCAGACAGAGGTGGTGAATGTGATAAGGCAAGCCATGGAGCGCGGAGACTTTCCTAATATGCTGTTTTATGGCCCACCGGGTACTGGCAAAACCAGCATTATCCATGCAGCTGCGAGGCAGATGTTTGGTAGCATGTACAAAGATAGAATACTGGAACTGAACGCCTCCGATGATCGAGGTATCCAAGTTGTGAGGGAGAAGATCAAGTCATTTGCACTGCGCAGGGCTAATCCTATTGGACCAGAGTAAGTATGTGAATATTTTTGTCAATTAAAATTATTTCTAATATTATTATTCCTAATAATAATACTAATAATCAATTTTAACAATTAGAATTTTATAGCGATAAAAGCTTTAATATATATGTTTTTTAGAGAAATAAAAATATCTATTATTTTATTAAAATGTAAAATCTTATTTATTTTTTATAATCAATGTCAATGATGATCCAGTAAAAGGTCTGATGGTCGCAGAATCTCAGTGCATAAGATTATTCATGAAAGGGCGTATCTTATTGTCATCAAGGAGATCTAATAAAGTATCTTAGCATCTCTTATTAGCAATTAAATAGAAAAGATGCTCGGATATGCAGAAAAACTGTAAGATTAGTGAATTTCTGAAAAGCACGAGCAAACAATTAATCTTGAAGTACTTGTGTAAAAGTCATGAGTGTGTGTAGATTTTATATTTTTAAAATAAATATTAAATTTTGTAATAAGTATTAAATATAATAAATAAATTTTGATATTTTTATAATTTTATTTTTTTGACTAACTAGTATCTCTTACATAAAAATTGATTATTGACTTAACACGTGTACATTAGGATTAATAATCATCCCTTCTTGATATCTCGTGCGCTGTACTGCGATTTATGATCAAAATGGCATATGCTGAGACATTATAATACTGCTTTAATATTTATTAAATGAGACAAAATAAAATTAATGGTTTTAATACCTTATTTCAAATTTTTTTCACTTTTGTAGCGGGAAAAATGTCCCCCATTTAAGATTATCATATTGGACGAAGCGGACAGTATGACTGGCGCCGCGCAAACAGCTCTTCGTCGAATTATAGAAAAGGAGGCTCATAGCACGCGCTTTTGCCTAGTATGCAATTATTTATCGAGAATTATCAAACCAATAGCGTCGCGTTGCACCAAATTCCGCTTCAAGCCGCTGAGTGATGAGAAAAGTATCAGCAGACTCGAGTATATATGCAATGAAGAGAATCTGAAGGCCGATAGAAGTGTTCTGGAGAAAATCGTCGAAGCATCGGGTGGCGATTTGAGGCAGGCTGTTATGTGTTTGCAATCCATCACTCGATTGAAAGGCAAGGACTATGAAATCACCGTGGACGATGCTCTCGATGTGATCGGAGTAAGTACGTCTTCTGAAAGTATATAAATTTCTTATGATTAAATAAGTTTTTATGAATTTATCGGAATTGTGCGTTTTTATATTTTTTAGCTGGTTCCTGATGATAAAATTAATACACTTTGGGAGACGTGTAAAAAGGGGAATTATAATAATGTCGCACAATTGCTCGAAAATTTGCTATTCGAAGGATACCCAGGTTCCCAGGTATTACTTCAATTATTGCTGTTAAAGAGTAATTTGTGTAAAATCACAAATTTTGTTATGCATTTTTATGATTATAAATTTAGTCCAAGTATAATAATTTAATACTAATTATCTTATGTTTTGTTTATGTTATGTTAGATAATCGAACAATTAAACGAGAAAATAATTTTCTCTGATGAACTTACTGACAAACAGAAAATGATAATTGGTAATGTGCTCGGGGTAAGAAATCTTTTTTCTACGTACACGTAAAAATAAATAACATAAAATAAATATAAATCTGAACTGTTTTTCTAGGAATGCGATTATAAATTAACGGAAGGAAGTGACGAATATCTGCAACTTTTACATGTGTTTTCTACCATCTTAGCAGCGTGGAAATTATGAAAAAGTTATAAAAATATGCTCTTCTAAATATGTAAACATTTATATTTATATTTCTAGATGTACTGTGTAAGTAGAGAATTTTACATTTTTAAAAACTTGTTCTTGTGCAATTTGCCTTTCACAATTCTAATAATACATATCGATTTGAACAGAAAATGATTCATAAAATGAATTTTAGGGCATGCTAAAAATAATAACATTTAATTAGGGATTACTAGAGAGTATATCAGAATCGACGTAATATTACAATGTGATTTTTCTACTAGGGAGAATCTCTATATATCCCTAACTAAACAGACGTATCATCAGCGCCAAAGTTTGTCCCTATAACACTGAAGTTTTACGCCAACCAACTTTGCGAGTCCGGACAGTCCAAATATTTCTAGACGCCAATTAGCAATTACAATTTTGCTAATTCCATAAAACGCGATATTGTCATAGGAATCAAAATGTTCAACATACATCGCTACAAGTTGTAAAAATTCTGGAGTTGGTCGCACGGAGGAAGAAACGACCTCGATGAAGCTGGATCCCGGCGTCGCTAGAAACGGGGCTCTCAACGAACCAATCGACAGCGTTCCTCGGCACTGAGCACCACTGAGGTTCGGCGTGTAGGGGCGTCGTTGCTACTGCGTGCAATGTGTATCGTGTAGGCGTTGGCGAGAGGAAGGAGGCGAGAGAGCCGCGACCGCCGCCGCCACCTCGCTCTTTCGGAAATGTGTCGTCCGTGAAAGGAAAAAAAAGAGAGACAGCGTGTGCACCAGAGTAGCCGGTGTGCCGCGTGTTCACACGTGTGTTTTATTTCCCGAGGAATCCTCGAATCGCTCGAAAGCGTTCATCGTATCTCTCTGCTCTCTTCTCCCCCCTCTCTCACCACGCCGCCTCCTCTCTCTCTCTCTCTTTTTATCATACATTGTGCCTCTAGAGCGCTGTCCAAGCCTTGTCCACGACGACGGAGCCACGTCTCCGCGTCCTGGGAAGCGTGAGTGATCGTTATTATTATTATCATTATTCCGTGGATAGTGGTGCCGAGGAAGAGATCGCCGCCGACGCCTTTCCCCGTGTCGTGGAAGAAAGACAGGACGGACGAACGTACGGGGGCGTGAACGACGCCTTGTCCTTGCCGCTGCAGCATCGTTCCTCGCTACGTCGTTTTGGAGCAGAGCGATGTTTCGGAGTACGTCCGTCCTCCTTGTTGAGATTTTATATACATAACTCTCTCTCTCTCTTTCTCTCATTCGCTGGCGTAGAGGTCGTGACTTCCGGAGAGAAAGGAGAGACAGAAAAAGAGAGAGAAAGAGAGAGAGAGAGAGAGCGGAGTACCGCGAGAAAGGTGTGCTGACCGCGTTCCTCGTCGTGACAAGCAAGACCAGTAGACCAAGAGGAAACTCCGAAGTGCAGCCAGTCCTCGTGGCACCTTTTGACGTTTCTCGTCTTCTGGAATCTGCAAGCAGGAGCGTTTCGTCGAATCCCGTAACTCTTCGTCCCACGAAGGTGTATTATTCTGTTCCGAAGATCCATCGACAAAGGTCTTCGGTAATCCTGCGAACGACAAACCAGTGAATTTTTTCCGGTCCGGTCGTGAAGAAGACTAAGAGCTAAAATAAGAGAAAGGACCAACTGCAGCGAGACATGTTTGGTGTCCCGAAGGGAGATCCAACCGGCGAAGCGGGCGGTTAGTCGCGGTGCATTCTGCTGCATCTTACACTCTCTCTCCTCGAGAGGACGAGATCCACGTGAAATCGTATCGGCAACGTGAAAAACGTTTCTATCATCCGTCATTCCGACATTGCTTTCCGTATTATCGCGCAAAAGGGACTCGGCGAGCCGGCACGCCTCCATGTGCGCATCCTGAGAGCTTGAGAGGCGCGTGGCTTGACAGGACCTCGCGAGCGGAGCGCCGGTTCGAAAGGATCTTTAGGAATTCGCTCTTTCCTCCTCGCGTTCGGTCCGGACAAAGGCGTGGATGATCCCGGCGGGCTATTCAACGACAACAACGACGGCAGCCACGAGGTGGATCGCGTTTCCTGCGGCTCGAACGGGTGCTGTCACGGCCGATTCGTGGAATGTGACGGGAGACGTCGCTCGAGGAGTAGCGAGTCGTAGAAAAGGTGAGTTTATATCAACGGACCGATATCGGGGATATCGGAGTACAACGAGCTGGAATATACCGAGTATACGAGAGTTGTGCGTTCGAAGCGATCCGATTGGCCGAACGCTCCAATTCCAGGTCCTTTGAGATTACACGCGGATACATATCTGAGTGTCCCGTTTGCTGCTAACGCATTCTCTTTGAATTGCGCGCTCGGTCTTTCCCTCGAGCATTATTCGTCTTTATCTTCATCCAATTTTAATGTATACAGATTTGGACCAGATGTATTTCATACATTTGATTTCGATCCTGATCAGATTTTTCGTATTTAAAAATTATTCATTAGAGATGGGCCAAACTAATTTAACAAATTAAAAATAAACGTAATTTTGTGCATTGAAAAAAGACAATCGAAAACGTTTACCTTCCAATTATATAATTAAAGAAAAATTGCTTAACATTCATAACATTTTTGCTCGTTTAGTTGGTCTATCTCTTAGTAAAAATTTTTGAACTCGCACGAGCCTAATTATTAATTATTAAACATTTTTAGTTTTAATAACTGAATTCTAATAAAATAAAATTTTGTTGTAATCTAGTCAATACAAAATTTAACTTAATAGATAAAATTATCTATTTCTTAAATAAAAATCTTGATTTTATCTGAATACAATTTTAATATTCTTTGCAGACTCTTTAAAATCAATGCAGAAATTATACTAAATATTTAATATAATTTAGATTCCAATTTCAAATTCATAAATTGCAGAGCAAAATAAATTGTGATAATTATCCACGATAAGCGCGAAATTTAATTTCTATCAAAATTATAATTAAAATTAAAATACTTTGAATAAAATCTTATCACATGATGGTCTCCAACATTTATAAATCTTTAAAATCTCTGAAATATTATATTTTCCAAATTTCTGTATATATTTAAAATCACCCTAAATCCGTTCATCTCGTCCGTTTCCCTTTTTATCTTTTCCTCTTTAGATATTCAGGTCTCTAAGCGCTTTGATCGTTCGATCTTTGGCCTTTGAATCCCCCCGAATTAAATAAAGATCTATCATAGGACACTAAATCTGGTATTCGCAGTTCACTTATGTATGCGATAATGCAGGCGCATAAATGTGCTTTCGGTATCTTTTACAGACGGTCGTCCTCAATTCCTTTTCACTTATAAAACGAAAATCGAACGTATACGAGTGCTCTTCGGAAATAGTTACATTCTCGTCGATTGATTATTCACGTGAATTTTACACGCGATGCCGAGTACAACTCTATGAATGATAATCGATTTACGCGAAAAGTCAACCGATCATTCGACAAATCCAGTTAATTATATTATATTATTTATCATTGTCCCCAATCGACTTACAAGACGGTCGATTACGGGAGAAGGAAGAAGGTCTTTGAACTTGCGTTATCACTCTCGAATTAGATCTACGCTAGCGACATGCTCTCGTACGAATAATCGACTATCCACGAAAGGAGCAGACGAGCTATATTTTTACTCATTTTTTGTTATAAATCCTAAAAAATCATATTAATAATTCCATAAATATATGTAAAAATAAATAAATAATAAATGTAAATAAAGTGTGTGTACAATATAAATTTATCTGTCTCTGCTCAAATTTAAAGATATTTTTATGAAATATTTTAAAAAGCAAATATAAATGTAATACCGTTTTCACAAAGTGGAATTTTGAAAACTTGCTTTTTCATATATTTGTACATTTTTTACGATGGCACAGTAAATAACAAAATAAAATAAAATAAATTTTATTACAAGCAATATAAAAATACACACGTATGAAACAAACGATACGTTTCTTCAAATATTTCATGTGTAATTATTATACAATTTATATAGAATTCTAAAATAGATCCAAATGATCATTATTTTATATAATTTTCATTATTTTATATAATTTTAATTACGATCACAATTAAACGTCGAATGACAATTAACTTACAAATCATACGTTTAATTACAAGATACATAATCAATAGTATAAAAAATATTTGCAAATTGTGTACTTGGTTTAATAATATAACATACCTTTGATTTATTAAAAAAAAAATTAAATAACGCTTCTCCCGATCGTGCAATACAGGGTGGTCCGCTGCACGAGCGAAGAAATTCAGAAAACAGAGTTCGTCTTTCGCGCTTATCAGGCAGCGCGTCGCCACGAGGATCGATAACGAAGCTAGGCGTATTTATTCTCGAGACTAAGTCCAGAGGCATGCCGCGATAAAGCTCGGAAGTTAGTATCTTTTATCTCTGGGAAGAGGCGCGCGCGCGCGAGAGAGAGACCCCTTTTCGTTCCTCCGTCTGCTTTCCACTTTTCGTGCCTCTAATTAAGCCGCGGTCGCGCCGAGAGAAGTACAAGCCGGAAATAGAAAATTAGAGCGCGCCAACGATGCCGCGCCGTGCGGGATTTGAGCCCCATTGATAATCCGAACATCTTTTTTTCTCCTTCTCACCTCCCTCCTTCTGCCTTTCCATAGGATAAAAATTCGCCAAAAGATTCGCCAGACTCTAGGGATATTATATAAAAAATTTAATATCTCAAAAATATATGACAGAATATAATATAATTACGATTTGAAAAAAATGGAATGTACAGTGTGTAATTTTTTTTATTTCAATTGTAAAATTCGATAAATGAAAAAATTGAGACAATACGTGGCACCATATGTAAAATTTTTTCAAAGGATTAACAAATTCCCATTTTCTCCGCGATATGAAACTAGTTTTAACATATTGTAATTTATGTACATTTTGTAATATCGCGTTTCCTAGGGTATATGTTTTATAAACTACACATGCAATAAAAAATAAAAACTGGAATATTAAATATCAAAGATTGTTTCTTATTTGCGCGTTTTTTTTCTTTTTTATTATATTTATAATGACACATTTATTTTATAAATAAAAATCACGATACTCAACAACTTAATTATATGATTTTGTTTGACGATTTTTCAATATTTTATACTCGAGATCCAAGAACTCGATAATATTCAAGGATTGATAATTATGTCGGTCAAACATATCTCTCTATCGTGTTCCTGTCTATCGAGATGAAAAAGTCCGTTGCAGTTTCCTTTCGTCTTGCTTTCAATTTCCTCGACTTTTCTCGATTTCAAGAAACTACTTGCTCGCGATGTTCATCACGAGACAATGTTATCCCTTTCAATAAACGTTTATTTTCGGTGCCCTATCAATCGCGATTTTGCTGTAGCTTGCTTCGAATCTTGATGAGAATTATAGCTCCTCGTCGAGGATGTCACGTCGGATTCTCCACGTGGAGAAAATAAAGCTTGTAAAAATGCCGTACACGAGCATCTCATCCCACCCTTTCGGCTCGAGTTGCTCCCGCGAGAAGGATGTAATTCGAAATTGCGAGGAACACACGTGTGTCTCTCGTCCGAATGGATGCAATTAGTCGCCCTTAAGAAGGTGTGTTTTATATTATTTTCCCGACGATGCACTCCGCGAAAGTTCCCTCGAATTTTGTATGTATTAATCTTGGGCAACATTTTTTACTAACGTAACTTTCTTCGTGCCACGACGACAACTCTAGCGAGGAATTTTCCTCCGTTTTATACTCATAAACTTTCTCTAATAGCCAAGTTCCATTAACGTAATTAATTTGCCCCGCATTTGTACTTCTTTCATATGTGTGCATCATACATACAACAAATTCATATAATTTTTCTCCTTTCAAATTACATTTTTAATGAATTGAAGATTCTCTTCTACATTAACAATATATATGTGTAGAATAATTTAATGCTGAAATATTTTCGACTAATTTCAAAATATAATTTTCGTCGCTATGATTTTCGCGAAATGCAGCTATGAAATCTGTCTAATAACTGGAGTGACATTCAACGTTCCATTGCAACTGACTTTATTGAACCGACATATTTAACGTTCATAATGACTGGGATGTCGACGACCGCGACGATTGTTAACCGCGAAAATGGCGCTGTCAGTGTCACGTGCCACGCGGCAAATTGCCGCTACACGTAAGCTATCCTAGCTATACGAATTTCTCTTTTTCATATTTTTTTTCGAGCCTCTTATTTTCTCATTTTCTTTTCGACTATTTGTTCAAATATTACCAAAGCTACGCGTATATTATTTATTATTTAAAGTGACCGCGTGTTAATTAATTAATATTTATTACTGGTAATGGATCCGCAGGATTTTTTTTAGGGGGTGGCAAGATTAAATTTTTTTGTTTTATTTATATTTTCATTTTTTATATTAAATAATAAATTCCGCGGTATTTATTCAAAAAGATGGCAAATGCTTAATTTTTTACGGATTCTAAAGGAGGGTTCGAATGCCCCTTCTTGTTCTCCCTACAGGGAGATTATTTGATAATGTCTACTACAAGTTTCTCTCTAATATATATTTTTTATATATGTATATTTGTTTATTTTTATTCCGGGCTTTATTCGAAACGGAAATTATCAATGTGAAAAAGAGAAAGAAAATAATCGCGATTACGTTGAAACTGATAAAGGAAGACAAACTGATAAAATTATGAAAGAATTATGTTAACAGAATTTATATAATAAATTTATTAATAAACGATGAGAACTTTTTTTTTAAAGACGTAGCAAGATATAAGAAGAAAAGCGCAACAGTTTTAGCAAACTATTTTATCACACACGTCCCCGTCTTCGTGGGAGAGAAATGGGGGATCGTATGATATCGGTTATCATTTTTATCTCGTAAGGGAACGGTTTGTCGGGCGAACGTTAAAGTACATCGCGTGCCAATTTCTCAGAAAAGTGCCGCTGTGTGACGTGACGCATTCTCGCATTTATGCGAACGTTATCGTCCATCCGTCTTTACATTAGCGTCTATCGCAAAAATTGCACGGGCAATTTGGTAGATTAAACAGGGCCGCGATACAAAGGAGATACGCGCCGTTTATTATCATTATCCCGTTTAGCTCTTCTCAGCTTCCACGTCTCCGCATAATAGAT